GGCCAATCAAGACCTTGAAACTGCCCTGCGCTGCATCACTGCCCGTAACCCAGCCACATGGAGCACATATTTGCCGTGGATCGAATACGCTCACAACTCTCTAGTATCCTCTGCCACAGGTATGACCCCATTCATGGTTTCCTTGGGTTTTCAACCACCTCTGTTCCCAGATCAAGAGGAGGATGTGGCGGTTCCATCAGTCCAGGCTCACTTAAGACGCTGTCAACATGTCTGGAGAGCTGCTCGAGTTGCACTGCAGCGCACAGCAACTCGCAATCAGAGATTTGCAGATAGACATCGCAAGCAATCCCCTCCCTACTGGCCTGGACAAAAGGTTTGGCTGTCTACCCGTGACCTCCCTCTACAAGTAGAGTCTAAGAAACTGGCACCCAAGTTTATTGGTCCGTATGTCATTGAAAGGGTGATAAATCCTGCTGTTGTGCGTCTCAAGATGCCTTCCTCTCTGAAGATCCATCCATCGTTTCACGTGTCTCTCCTCAAGCCGGTGTTGTCCTGCTCTCTCAGCCTCCGGCCGATCCCCCTCCTCCCACCCGGGTCATTGATGGTTACCCGGCCTTCACAGTGAGTCGGATTCTGGATGTTCGGCGTTGTGGGAGGGGATTTCAATACCTGGTCGACTGGAGGGATACGGTCCAGAGGAGCGCTCCTGGATTCCCCGCCGCAGCAACATCCTGGATAAGTCCCTCCTCCGGGACTTCTACAGGGCTTTCCCAGACAAGCCTGGTAAGACGTCTGGAGACGTCCGTTGGGGGGGGGGGGGCGAGTTTTTGTAATTCTTACCTTTTCGCTTCGACGTTTTCACTTACCCGCGTTCTCTGCTCACCAGTGTTCCCTGCCGTCTCCAGCCCTGCTCCAAGCCCTGCTCCAAGCCCTGCTCCAAGCCCTGCTCCAAGCCCTGCTCCAAGCCCTGCTCCAAGCCCTGCTCCAAGCCCTGCTCCAAGCCCTGCCTCAGCCTCCATTTTGTAAAATAAATTCACCTTTTATTTTTACCTGGTCTGTTGTCCATTTTTGGGTCCCTCCTCTGCTTAACCACATCAAAAATAGGTCAAATATCGCACAGTGTATGCCTGGCTTAAGCCATGTTAGAATGTTTTTTCATCCTCGAAATCATACCTGGAGTTGTGTTTTGTTTTATTCACACATGTTTGAGTAACCCTTTATTATGAACATTTTAAAGGGACATTTCGGATTTTGGACATGGAACCTAATTTCCTAGTGAGCCAGAGTGTTAGAGACGTGTGGAGACATTTTTTTAAATATTCCATTCAGTCCTTGTATTTGCAGAGGTCGCTGATGCTAGGCTAGTGCCTGTCAATGGCCATAGTTGTCCTACCACTAAAAACCCACTCCACAAATCACCTGAAGCAAATCTATTATTACGCCAGACTATCGATCAAAATGTCTGTGTCGATGAAATAATTTTAGAAGTAAAAACAAACTTGCATTTGAAGGATTTATGTTTGAGCAGCAGCAGCGAGTTGTACTTCCTGATAGAAAGCTTGGCAGCAGCGGACTGATATCACCTAGCACAGGGGTGTCCAAACTTTTTTCATCAAGGGCCACATATCTAAACACAGACGAAGCAGAGGGCCGATCGAGGGCCGTAGACTGATGCTCAGTACAGTGAATCATTGAAATATGTGCATGTTTAAGACATTAGAATGAGCCTCAGTCTTTATTTATGCTAAGATACTTAAATATTGGCTTTATGAAGGAAGATATTCAAAAACTTGCAATAAAAAGTTAATTTTTAATTGATGCAAGGTATTTTGGGCCAATTCTCCTGGACATCTGTGGGCCAAGAAAGCTTTGTCTCAGGGCCGCATTTGGCCCACGGACCATAGTTTGGACATGCCTGACCTAGCACGTCTTACCGACAAAGTAAAATTCCGTTGCTGCTGAGAAAATAGTCCCTCAATATGCCACGATTCATACGATGCAAGGTTAGTTTTATTTCAAACATTATTCTATCAGCACAGACATTTACATCGACAGTCTGGTGTTATAATAGATTTGCTTCAGGTGCACTGTCAAGTGGGTAAGATATCTATGACCATTGACATGCGCTAGCCTAGCAACAATGACCTCTGCAAATACAAGGGCTGGATGGAATATTTACTCTGGCTAACTAGGAAATGAGGTCCTATGTCCAAAATTTCGGACAGTCCCTTTAAGACCAAAATGAAGAGGCTCACAGCAGCAGTTACAGAGAGAAGGGTGATCATTTTTCAAGTCAATTGGAGCCAGAATTGGTGAAGCTGAATGCGCCTCCATGCTCACCTCCTATTTGGATCGCGATGACTAGCGGGTTAGCTTTGTCCATTTATATGTTGTCCATTTATATGTAGTCTATTATTTGATCACATGGGTGGAGATGATTTGAGGAAGTCTCAAATACCTTGTTGTCAGTGTAAATAAGAATTTTCATCAACTGACCATAACCATGAACTCAACAGAATACTGGACACATTCATTCCAACTGACCAATTTGAACATGGCATTTCAGTCAATTTTCGGCAGACTCTCTAACCAAATATTTTCTGCAACCTTTAATTTGAATCGTTAACATTTATATATAGATGCTACGGACAATGGTGCTTTTAAATTCCCAGAGCGATGACATTTTGGGCCATTACCTCCACCAGAAGTTATTTGCAACCTGAATTCACCCAGCGCCATGTACAGAATCTGCCCTCTGTGAGAGCGAGCGGTGAAGTGCAAATGGAAATTCCAGTACTGGTTAGAATGGCTCCCTCCTTTCCTGGCGACGCCCGCTGTTTCCTGGCCGGCTCATGACTGGAGATGTGTTGACTTTTGGATTGGAACAGGTCTGTCGGACATTGGGGTACAAGACACACACAGGTCTGACCGAGGAAAAGGGTGGTGGCCAGTTTGAGTTGCTAAACAATTGATAATTCATCACTTGGAGTTTTCCTCTTTAATCTTAATCTTTATTTGGCTAATAGTCACATATACAGACTGATGTTCAAACTTTAGTCAGTGTTACAGTGTTTCACAATCTCAGTCCAGACCCAATACAAGAAATAAATAAAAAGCATGGAATAAATGAAATGAATAGACTTTAAAGATGCACTGCATAATTTTCCATCTTAGGAAGGGGTCTGCTACCATGGAGATGCTACTGCTTTGCCTGTAATGTTCCACAATATGGTATTAAACTTATATAAGATGCATTTATTCAATTATGGGTGTTTTTATTGCACAAAAATACCTTTAAAAATGTGCATTCTTACTGTGAGTGGGGTCACCTCTTCACAGGTCTCACCTGTAAATTGCCTTGGTGGCGTCTCCTACTTGTTTCTATGGAAATTGAAAAGTTTAATGCCATATTTTGGGATAGTGGAGGTAACGCAATAACATCTCCATGGACACAAGTTGGGCCCTCTATCAGAAAAGTTACACAGTGCACCTTTAAAGTAAGCAGAAGAACACATGGTTTAAATGTTCACCAAGTAAAATTAGGACTAAAATGAAGGTCTACAGTTCTTTTTTCTTGTCTATGTAAAATGTCTTTGAGTTTCTTTAAAAAATGCAATATAACATGTATGTATTTTTTATTAGCAATTCAGGATAAATCAGGAATAAAACCCAATCTTGAAAAGTACGACGATGGACTAAACCATGACTAACCTAACTTGCTTCCATGGAGATGTTATTGCTTTTCCTAGAATGTTCCACTGTGCAACATTAAACTTTTCGATCTTGCATGTATTGAATTACAGGAGTTTTTTATGCACAGAAAAATATGTCTTCTTACTGTGGGTTTTGGTCGTCTCTCCATAGATCTGATTTCCTGGAGGTGACACCTACTTTTCTCCACAGTGACAGATTCTGCACCAGAAAAGTTACATAGTGCGTCTTAAAAAAGCCCCCAAAAAACCCCAAAACCTATATAAGCACTATGGAAATAATAACAAGGAAGGAAAATGAAATACATACTTGTAGCTGTACTGCAGTTTGAGAACCATCACCACACGGAGCTCATGTTGTCCACCTATTTTGTAATTTTGCAGTCCTGCCATTCACAAGCCCATTAGTCTAAATGAGCTCCCATGTTAGCTGTACCACCGCATTACTTGCATGTCAGCACACAGGGGGGACCTTTACCTGAAGACTTCCTGTAGGGTAAATATTATGTTTTTCTCTTTATGGTGTCACACAGGAGCTTGTCTTGTTTGTAATATGTTGTGTGTATGTAAACTGCACATGCTCCAATAGATTGCTCTACAAACAGGGCTGTAAAGAGGCCTGGCTCAGTGCACCTGGACAATACACTGCTTTATTCAGACCAGGTCCTTCGCTGTTTGGTCCAGATAAAAATCAGCTCTTTGTGAAGGAAGATGAAGAGACGAAGAGGAATCTGCTGCCAGTCAAGTCCGAAGAGCAACTTTATCAGATAATCTTCAAAAGAGAGGATACAGGTTTCTTGTGTTCTTGGAGCATCCATTTTCACTCAATTAACATGACTCAAATGACTGAACATGAATTTACATGAAAGGATGCAGCAAAGCGACTGTGAGGGAGACTATCTTGCTGTCAGTTATGAGATAGTTTTGAGAATCACTAATCAACAACATGACTGTGTTTTTTAAAAACCTTATGCCATGTTCTGTCTATATGTAATGCTATTGACTTGGACATGGTGTCCAAATCAATAAATGAAAGTTTAATAATGTAATCTGTAATATGATAAATGAAACAAAAACTAATTTCTAACATGTGATGGAATGCAACACACATATAAAGGTAAGGCTGTGACATTAAGTGTTGTGGAAATGTTGTATTACTTTTATTGATAATTAAAAGACTTCTTGTTGTTTCATCTTATTGATCGCAGGTAAGTAAATAAAAATATATGTGAAAAAATATGATTATAAAGTGGTTATCAGTGGTTCCTCAACTGTTGTGTTGGCCTTGCAGCACCATCCTAAATAAAATAAATCCACACAGAGTCCACATAGAGGTATGAAGTGATTAAATAGGTTTATTTGATTTACAGACATTTACATTTGTCTATCAGCCCTCCAAGGGAGCATCACAGTTCAATTCTAAACATTATCCTTAGATTTTTTTTCAAACAGGTGTCATGTATTTCATGTACTTCCTCTAAAAATAAAATAACCTTTGTTTTCTGCTCAACATCAGAAATAGGTCTATTTATACAGGATTCTTGTATGACAAGAAAAAGCACATTCTTGGTACATCACTGTTGTAGTGATGAAGAAGACAAAATGGCGGTCCCACTTTATAATAACTGTACTTCAACTAGCTTTAATAAAGCATGAACAAAGACATAGCTATTTACTAAGAATAATTCAGGTTTAGTAACTATTTAATTAAGTTGGGCTGGGGTTAGGAGTTAAGATATTAATTAAGTAGTTACAACTCTTGAGTCATTCTTAATTAACTTCTTCATCATGTATTACATCTGTGCTCATAAGGCTAATCAAAAGTGTAGTTATTATAAAGTCTTACCAAAATGATCTAAGCAGTGGACAGGTTTTCAAATCAACTCAATTTGGCAAAGTGACACTTATTTCAATGTTCCTTCTTATGACATGATAGGTACATTTCAAAAAAATGAGAATAAGACAGAAAAGTGCAGTATAGTCGCCTTTTCTATGCACAGTATTCTGATTCAATAATTTGCACCTATGTCTTACTGTGAGCATGAATTGATGTGAGGTTTACGCTATGCTTCAAACAAATCCCTGAACTTAACATGTGCAAAATGGTCGAAAAACATGCATAAGAGCTACAATAACACCATCTACTGTAGTATCTCTCTTCCTATAGTTTTGTGTGTAAAATGTCATTCATGATCACAGTAAATAGGATGGTTATTGATTTGAAAGGTATTGTGTTGTGATACAGGCATTCATACTGAAAAACAGAAACTTCCCTTTACACATTATTCTTCATAACAAATAAATACATTGCATTGAAGCCATCATTTACAATATATTAAAGTGGCTGCATGATATAGCTATATATAGATCTCTATTGTAGTTATAAAACTCATTTGGTAACATAAAAAAACAAGTTCATAAAGTAAGAAGCTTAAGAAGTATACCGGGTTGGACGTGATCACATTCAGTTAAGCTAAAGCTAAATATGTGGCAACAAGGACGGAGCCCACTCAGAGAGACAGTTGTGACTCATGCTCTTACATCAATGCAACACGAATCTCTATTTATTCTTAAGGTTGCTGTAGCCTGAAGAATAAAGCACTTTTTATCTGTGAAGAGTCTTTCATATGTATTTTTGAGCCAGTGACTCAACTCTCAGCTTCAAGGTTTTTAAAAAGTCTGGAAGTTGAAAGCTTTTATCATGATTTGAAGTTACAGATTCAAACTAAGAGTAGGGAATATGCCAAACAATATTATCATGGTTTTCTCAGTGCAAGATCACAATATATTTCTTTTGAGGTAACAAAATCCATTGACCATTTGTGAAGCTTCACTGTGTTTGGTTAAATCCACCTGTCACTCACTCAAAGTCTCACAGAATAGTAGGTTAGGAAGTGTCTTGTAGTATTTTTGCGCCTCGATCTGCATTAAATAGGTCACGCTTGGACAATATCAAAGGAATAGGATTTTGTCACAGAAATGATATAATAATTAGGTTTGTATTGCCAATTCGCCCAGGCTTAATCCAGACTTTATTAAACAATTAATTCTTCTGCCAAAGCATAACTTGAATAGGCGCTATGAATGTTTTACCCAAGGACAAAATATTCTGGGGATTCAATCAACAATCCTCTGGTTATGCTTAACCTGTTACACCCCTCTATAATTTAAACAGATGAAATTAATTTACTGAAAAGAGTTCACAAAATGACTGATTTATAATATTCAATCTTCAGGTTTTGGGCTGTAGATGCAACAGCGAAGATAACAAGACCAAGATTTCTGCGAGTTGGTTCCTGGCCGCTATTTAAAGCAGGTAATTAAGTGGACTTTGGAGATTTTCTGGTCTAGTTTCAAAGGTGGATTCCTCTCTTCTCGACTCTCAATGAAAGGACTCTTCATCAGAGATCAGATCATCAACCCGGGCCAATGGATTTCCTCTTCCTGTCTGCAATTTTGATTTCTACATAATTTCAAAGCTTTTTTCTTCTAATGGTGGAATGAGATACGTACAATTGTAAGACTTAACAATGGCCTTGATGGGGTCTGTAATTAAAGTGTCTCTCCATGTGGGCGTACGTCCTACTTTAAAGGTGGTGTGGGAAGTTGCCTTCGGATTGATATTTTTCATTTTGCTTTGTTGATAAAAAAAGAAGCTTAAAACTGTGGAAAAAGCATATACAACAATATAAATTATAAAACATAGAATTATCCAGTGTCCTATTCAAAATCATTAACTAAAGGCAGTAACTTCTCTCTCACACATTCACACAACAGGAAATACTCACAAGAATTACAGTCTTGTGAATAATAATAATAATAATTCATAATAATGTGCATAAATGTCTCTGTCTTTCTCTGGCACGATGCACTGAGTTAAGTGCTAAAAAATGGTAAAAAGTACAAACACAGAAAGGGTCAAATGAAACGCATGACTTGATGTTAACAATGTGAAAGCTCCAGTTTGATATTTAAGGCTGGTTCTTGGATGTCGAGACAGTAACATTTTTTGGCTCGGTTTGGCTGTGGTTACATGTAATGAGAATACAAAGTGGTAAAGTAATCGGATACATTTGTCAGTGGATTTTTTAGTACTTAGTCTAAATAACTGAGTAACATTTAGATCAGAATATAATGTGAAGAAATGCGGAAGAAAATTGAAGTAATTCTTGAATGCAATACATGTTCTGTGTTTCACTAGGGGCTAAGTCATTTTTAATAGTCAGTGTTTGAATGGAGAAGCCGTCAGTCTACGTCAGTATAAGCATATGGTTTGAGTTCAGACTTTAGAGGGAGAAGTTATGTTTAAAATATTAAATAAAAATGATTAAAAGTCTGTTCTCTTTATGTTCAGAAAATGAATTTCAAAAGGAATGTTTCGTTTTTAGTGAGAGAATATAAAATGTAAACCCAATAATCTAACCCAGAGGTGTCCAAACTATGGTCTGGGGTCAGATTTAGTGCTGCTGAATTGGCCCAAATGACCATAGATAGTACTTTTTACTTCAAATTCAAGTATCTCTATCACTGCAAGCTCAATAACATCGAATTGCATTGTGGTACAGACCTAAAATTTGCGTGCCAAGATTTTTTAAAGGTGTTGTGGAACTCTCAAACCTATGGAAATTGCATCTATCGGAAAGGCTACTGCGGTCTTTCACTACGATATTTAATAAAAAAGGGAGGGCAGCTAAAATTATTATTATTGAATTGCATTTTTTTGTTGTAATGTTTAGTTCTTGGATCTAGTCACTAATAGAAATGATCAGGTCATACATTTGTGAATTTACTTTTTAGATATTCGTCATGAAAGTACAATGTAATCAATTTCATCATCACATTCAAGAATCTGAAAACCACCAATATGAGGAAAAAAAGTTTGGACACCCTGATCTAACCCAATAACTGAAATGAGAAAAGTTGCAAATGATCAGAAACAACTTCCAATTTCCACTCCTCCATTCTCAGGTGCATGTAACCACAGCCACTAATAAAATGAGGGTTGTTGGTGATCAGTGCAAAGTTCCTAGGAATGTAAATGTTATGGCACTTGGTACAAAAGAGACGACCAAAATACCAGACAGACACGCAGACAGAGACACAGGCAGACAGACAGGCAGACAGACAGGGCAGGATCATGGCCAGCATTCAGTAGTATGGCATCTGAGGAAGAGGAGTCCACCCTTTGTCCTCTTGTGGAAGGTTCAGTGGATGCTCACAGATTTAAACCCTCTGTGATTTTGACTGTCTTTTATGGAGGGGCCAGACGCACCCTCGATCCAGTTCAGAGCTTATGCAAAACAGGGCCAAAACAGAGGATGATGATGATGACGAGGAAGAGGATGGACTAAAAAGGGAAAAGCTGCCCCTTGCATCTTGTCCTCCAGATTGGTGGCTCCATCGGAAAGCTCTTCAAATTTGTCCCACCTGAAAAAAACACAAATACTAATGGTTAAAAAAAGCACTTAGTTTTGCACCTTAACAAAAGTACATCATTACTTTATATTTTTTGTATAGTAGACCGTAATATTGGTCTAAATTATATGTCTTTATTGTTGAAAAATAGTTATGTGGCATTTTTGAACCATACATGTTCAATGTTTTGTCTGCATGTTTTGAATAATTTAAAATAACTACAAAGGAGTGGGCGGGGATAGGGGAAAACTGGAATTTCCTGAGCACTCAAGCCTCAATTGCAGAACAATACAAGATTACTCAAACATGCACAAATCATAATATAACATGATGTAATATGGTTAAAAGTAAATTTTGGAAACAAGAAAGAAATCTAATACTCCCACACTGAAATGTATTTACAATGATTTGTAAAGGGAAATGCTAGAAATGAAGTTTGTCTGCAGCAGTTTAAATGCCTAAACATGCTGAGTTTTTCTCTGTTAATTATTTTAATATTCCACCCAGGTCCGTCGACAGAAATTTGGGAGCAAGGCAGATCAAGATGCCTTACATGGGTCCTCCACTAATATAAATTAATAAGAAAAGTGTCAAATTTTGGGTCCCTAAAACTCTAGAGCCCAGGACAACAGACCCCTTTGTACCCCCCATCTACTGCCCTGATTACACCTCACAGTTTTTTGTTATTTTTTGTTTTATTTAGTCCTTTATTTGTTCAGTATGTAAAGAAATGTAATAAATATTTTACTAAAGAAAGAGTCTGTCCTCTCCACGGGGTGTTTCACATGTGATTATTATACAGTAGAGGGACAGGATCCAGGGCCATCTGTGATTACGCCCACACAACAGGACCCACCTAAATATTTAACACTGACATACTGACATATTACTGTGTACTGCAGGCATCTTTTATTTTGTACAACTAACCACTATGAACCACAACACAAGTATTTTTATGGAAAGAGTACTTAAAATGTATACTCATGTAAAAGTACAGTTACATGGGTAAAACGTTACTCAATTACAAGCCAAATTTATTCACAAGTACACATGATTATTAGTTACTTTTATGCAATTTCAGTAACACTTTAGATCAGTCTTGTACATGAAACTTAAATGTGCACTGTGTAACTTTTCTGGTGGAGTATGCCCCACCTATTTTTCTTCATGGAGATTTTATTGCTTTATCTGAAATGTTTCACAGTGTGGCTTTAAACTTTTCTGTCATCATGGAGAGCCAATCAGCCCAAGTTACTGGTCAGATCTCTGGAGAGGCAACCCCACTCACTCAGAATGCTTGATTTTCTAGGTATTTGTGAGCAATAAAGCCACCTGTAATTTAATAAATGTAAAGTAGAGCTTTTTTATTGTCATACTGTGGAACATTCCAGGCAGAGCAATGACATCTCCATAGAAACACGAAGGTGACAGACAGCCAACTAAAAAGTTACACAGTGCACCTTTCATTATTTCCATGGTTTAAAGCTGAGTTAAGCTGTTTTAATAGCTTGCTAGATCTACTTTCAGACTTCTGGCAAAATGAAGCGTTCTAATACTTCCTACACAAATTGATTTTTTTGTTTGTTATTTATAATCCTGAGTGACAGGTTTATATTTCCTCTACGGGGACGTGTCTGAGCACTGATCAATATTTCACAGTTAAACCTCTCTTATGACCCTTTCACACTTTTATATTTCTGCCCGTTGCTCCCAAAATCACTGCAAGATTCTTTGTGACAAGCTCAACTAAACCAATCGTGCCACTGTGTCCATAATTCCAAGCTCAGATGGAGTAAAAAGTGAAGCAAAGTGACTTCTGTATAAATTAGAATAAAGCGTTACACTAATCACTTAATCTGTTATACATTGCAAGCTATTAATCTCCGGCCATTGCAATCCCAGACAGAGATTAGATGTATCGAGATCCGGGATCCAATTAAGTTCCCCTGGCCATTTTTTTCCCATCCCCCCTTGCACCACATTTCAACTGTAGAGGACATCCCAATGCTACATGCTGTCATATGCATCAGCAGGAGTCTTGACAAGGGCCCATTTTGCTTTCATTTATTCGATAACCGCAACCTTATATGTCCTATAGGGAAGAAGTTCATAGCAGAAGGTAAAGCTGCTATGGTCCAAATGCTTTATGTTGACACAGCTGCAGACTCATAGCCCTCTGCTCCTTCGAGCTCTTATCACAGGCCAAAGATTTGAGACGTGGGTAGCACAGTAGAACCACAGACTCCACACAACTGCAAAAAAGGCTATTGTACTAAATTAAGTGCTCTCAGATGTCTCTTCATTGAAAAACTGATTCAGCTACTACAAGTTCTATCTCCTGTTATTTACCAAACACTTTCATTGTGTGGTAGTAGAATTTATGTGTCTAAAATCACAGTACAATAAATATACACTGCCAAAACAAGAACTGTAACAATGTGAACTTAAAATAGATGAATCTATTAATAATGACAACAGTGTTTTCCTGTACTTTCTTCTCGTGGCTTCAGTTATTTGCTCTGTGAGTGTCTGGAATATCCTCCCATTGGTACTGTCTGCTCCAATTGGCCTAGGATCTGAGAATATGCCGCTTGTGGTTTAAAGTTATTTCACTAGAGACTTTTTGAGCCCAGTTTAATCCTGATTAGATCGGGTGTGATCCTGTCTGAGTTCTGGTGTGGTCCTGGTATAGTCCAGGTTTAGTTCTGTGTTTAGTCCCAATTGTGGTATGGTGAAAACAGTTTAAAGTATGCAGTAATCACAATAATTCCAATATCAACTTATCGTTCAATATATGAAAGCTGGAACAATATACAGAATTTTGGACCTCAGTATTTATTGTGGATACATTTTCTTTGCAATAATGGGGAGATTTTTGTTATTTTTGATGTAACTTAGTAAGATTTGAGTTGCAGAGAGTCAAATAAGTCACTTCTATGGCGATTTATAGGTTCATTATGTTATTTCTTTGTTGCATCTCAGGCTTTTTATTTGTTTTATCCCGCTTTACTTTACTTTAAATCTTAATCAGTGGCATAAAGTAGTTTCAGTATTATCATTTTTTGCAATATTTCTCTGTAGCAATACATCCTGGTTCAAAATTTGTTATCGTGTTACATCTAAGTACAGTTACAACTAATAAAACTGTAATTTCTTAAAAGTCTTCCACAGCTATGTCCTTTTCAATGATTTGACACAGGGGTACACACACACAGTTCTGCAGTATTTTGTGTACTGTGTGTTTTGCTATTCACCAGATATCATTGGCTCTTTTAGCTTGGTTTCCTCCACTGTAAAGTCATCTCCTCTCATTTATCAGAGCAACATGCAAATCAACCAAAGAACTCTGACAGGACGCGGGACTCATAATCCCTCCAGTCGCTCGGCAGTGTGTGGGTTTTACAGCGCAGAAAAAACACTGGATTTTAATAATGTAATAAGAAATTATTATTCAAAGCCTTTCAAAGGTTGAGAGCTCCTTTTTCTTGTCAAAGAAGTCCTAATAGATGGCATAATTACAGGTGCATTATTTAAAGCTCCCGTATATATTTTCTGATCTATGTTATAATGTTGTTTCCTCATTAAAAACATAATGTGGACTTGTGTTTTGTTTCATTCACACATGTTTAACACACAAACCCTGCATATTTAGGCTGAGTTCTTCCCGCATTCTGAGCATTGGATATGTAGACAAACTAATAATAAAGAGTAAATAATAATATAGATACTATACTCAAACATGCGTGAATGAAACAAAACAGAACTCCAGATATGTTTTTAAGTGGGCAAAAACATTCTAACATGGCTTAAAGCTCACAAAAGTCATCAATTTTGTATAATAATAGGACCTTTAACAAGTATTTTTTTCCTGTTTGTATTTCATTTGCCCACTTCCTGTTTCCAAACCACTATAATGCATAAATGTTGAAGAGATTAGGTCATCCTTTGCACGCCTTGGCACCTTCGTGACATTTTTCCATCACAATCGTTCATAAATACTACATGTACTTGCAAATGGCGTGGGATCACACTACTACCACATCCTGAAATATTTAACCTGCGTACGAGACTTTTTGATTCCCCCCAGTTCAAGATTTATGTCAGGGCCAGTCAATTCCAACTAGAGCTGCACTATATATCGCAATTGTATTTTGAGCTGATGCAGTTATTAAAACCTAAAGGAAGCCAGTGCTGAACTTATAGTTTAGAGCAGGGCTTCCCGAACTTTTCAGACCAGGACCCCACAAAAAAAACACAGCAGAATACATTTTAAAGCAATTATTATTTTAAGTGTTGCAACAGTTTTTGATGTTGTGTCATTGGACCTACTTTGTCAAAAATATACTGTTTTAAGCACTTTATGTTCCATTTTTTGTATGAAAAGCGCTCCATAAATAAAGTTTGTTTGATTGATTGATTATATACAATTATTGATTAAATACAGTGTCATAATTTCTGATAATAGTTCTTGTCTTTTCTCAAATGTTAATACTCCTGAAGATATTTAAAAGCAAAAGAATCCTACTTTTTAAACATGTATTTCATATCAAAATCGCAATTGCAATTAGATTTTTTCCTCCTAAATTGTGCATCCCTAATTCCAACTACAATTTTTATGATATGATTGATGAGTATACATTTCCTGCCATAACTTTCACATTCAGGTTAGTCAAGCTATATAGTCTATAGGATTTCTTAAGCGCAAAGACACAGACAGAAAAACAAAGAAACCTTGGCCTTTTGGCTCTATTCGATAACCTTTACAAGAAAGTCACAGTGCATTCCATGTTCCTCTTATCACTCCAAGTTTAATCTTGTTTTTTCTTTAACCGCAACTGTACCTCCATTGTCCTACTTTGTAAGGTGAGGGCTGGTCGGCTGCCAATATTTGTGTGCTTTTTCCAGTTAATAATTTGTGAGCTAGACTTTTTGACCCATGTGTGTTCCCGATAAAAAACAGGAAGCCAGCTTTGTCTAGGTAAAAAACAAGATACTTTGATCAAATAACATTTCCAGGGTACAATGTCTACAGAAATACACCAAAGCGTATCATCAAATCTGCCCATACACTATTTAGTTAATGGAAAAACATAAAGATTTGAGTGTGCTTGTTAACAGCCTCTTAAATTGCATGTGGAATTGCTAATCTGAAAAGCTAAAGTTTAATGGGCCATAGGAAATAAAACGAAATTACCTTGTCATACCTTGACAGAGGATGGCCTTTGTGTGAGCTGAGCCAAGCTGTGAAGAGAAGAGAACACTTTAAGGAAAAGAACATAATTTTTACAAGAAATTCTCAAAGCACATGGTATTAAACCTCGTATTGTTTCAACATTTCCTTAACATATTTAAATGCATATCACCCACTCATTTAAAGCTACACTATATAACTTTTTGATGCCATGTCTGCTACTTAGCTGTCTCATGAATAAGTTATTGCTTTGACTATATTTTCCACAATATCAACTATAAATAAACATACCAACTTTGCATTTACAGGTGAGTTTATTTCTCAAGAGAACACATCCTCACTGTGCATGCACTTTCCTCTCCACAGATTTTACCTGTAAATTGGCCTGCCAACGTCACATACTGTGGGATATTGTCTGTAATGATTGTTTATTCTTTAGTCATGTGGTTGTTTTTAATGTCTCCTAGTGTACTTTGAGCTTTTTGCACGTGTTTTTACACTGTGTTTTTTAACTTCAAATGGCAAATAAAGTGGCCTAACCTAACAATGGTAGGCAAAGCAATAATATCTCCATGGAGACAAGAAGGTTGCATAGTCCACCTTTATTATTACATAAGATTTTTATTTGGCTCTATTTGAGAATTATATGGGACCTCCTGCTCTAAAGCAACAGCTATTCTTGCACTAAACAGCATTTTCTCTTCTTGTTAGAAACCCTGTCTTCACGGCGTCACACTTGATGACACTTGTTTCTGTGTGAACTGAACCAGGACTAGTTCAGATAGTCCTCTCTCACACATCAGTAACTTTAATTGTGGCTTCGTGAATATATAAATGGGAGGATAGAGACCCACTTTAACCAAGCCATTACAGAGAGATCAGAAATAATAAAGCACAACTCAGGTCCAGAAATAGAACGTTTTGCTCCACGCATTTAGTCCCCTGTCTGTTATAAATAGCTGCGAGTATCCGAGGACTCACTGGAGGAGCTGTGAAGTCTGGGCAGATTTAAAAATGGGGGCTTTATTGTGTGAATGGAGCTCTAAATATAGCCCAGTTGTGGAACAGCCCAACGCTTGTACCGAGTTGTAGATGTTAAGACGTCTATGTGTTTCGCTGAGCAGCGTTATATAAGGATCGCTGGTGCTACTGGTGTTTTTAGATAATTTTTCTTCTCTAAATATGCATCAGAGACCTTGTGTCCAAAAAATAAAGATTATATTTGAATATTATGATCAAATCTATGGTCTTATCTTGCCACCATATATTGTATTGCTATATTTTATTTTAAGAGTAGCTGTACTGTTTGGTGATGGTGTTTTACAAACAGGCTTCTTTAAATATGTACCCAAAACTTAGTACAACTGATCAGAAAAAATAAAGATTATATTTGAATATTGTGATAAAATCATTGGTCTTATCTTGCAGTGATGAATTGTATTGCTATATTTTACTTTAAAGGTCTTGTATTACACAAAACTGACTCCTGTGAGCTTTAAGCCATGTTATAATGCTGTTCCGTGGAGTTGTGTTTTGTTTCATTCACACGTCTGAGTAACCCTGGTTTATTAGCCTGTCCACATTTCCAGACCTAAAAATGCTCAGTTACACCTTGTGATGTCATGAAGATGTCAAAATAACAGCTACCTTTTACCTTTGGTTCAGCATGGATTGGGAATTCTATGATTCTAGTGAAGGTGTATGAAGTTTAAAACACAGTGGAACATTTAATTTTAACGACATGACATCACAAGGTGGAACAGTTTTTAGTTTGAGAGAAGAACACAGCTTAAATATGCAGGGTTTGTGAGTTAAAGATGTGTGAATGAAATGAAACAAAACAAAACAAACAACAAAAAAAAGCTGTTTGTGTTGTGGAAACAACTTTAGAACACAGATCAGAAAATAGTGTAATATGAGCCTTTTAACCAACACACTCCTCACAAAATCATGACTAAGTGGCTGAGTATGGTTCAAGTGAATATTTGGCCACACTTTACATTCATGTGGCCAGTACATTTAACCACAAATCAGGTCACAACCTCAGTCATGGCTATTACTAGGCATGACTGCCACTTCTCTCTGCCATTGTTCTGCTTTTCATCACTATTTATAGAGTTCTGGCTGGCTACAGGTCTAATATTGTTTCACTATATCTCTAGAAGGAGGGTATAGGGCACTTTCTTGTCTCCATGGAGATGTTAATGTATTATAGCTTTGCCTAGAATATCCCACAGTATGGCATTAAAAGCAACTGTCTCCTTGGATGAATGACAAGTTGACTAAATTACAGTTGTTTATTCAGAAATGTACTTCAGAAAGGGAATATTATAACATTTATGTAGTCAGAATTTTTCAAAGTGGTACTGGGACTTTCCACCGCGGTTATGATGTGGTCTCCCATGTACACTACTGTTAATGTACTTATTCAGTTTTTATGAGTCTTAGGCGTGGGAATGTTACTGGTGAACATAGATTGTAGACAGACATCAGACTGCCATCCTGCCTACAACATCTTCAACAGGAAGGAAGCCATTTTCTGAGAAAGCCGGCACCAGGGACCAGAACAGCGTGATAAAAAATAGGAAGAAGTCTGGACATCTGAAAGAGGATGAGGGTGTTTGGGTTTGCCTTTTAAGGTCACACTGGCCACTGTTCCTTATTTTCTTGTTTGAAAAAGGAAAGTTTAAAAGCACGTAGAAGAGTGATGGAAGCAATGGCTAAGCAAAGTTTACTTGAAAGTGCTTATGACAGGTTTTTATGTGCTTATGACAGGTTTCTAATCTTTACTTGTTTTTGTGAAATACCTGTGGTTAATAATTATCTAGTTTTATATCAGTTAAGTGGCAGTTTGTGAAGAAAAGTTGAGAAAAATACAGTAGCGAATGAACCTGAAAATTCAAACCAAATGCAGGGACAATTTACATCCAAACAAGGCTTTTTTCTAACAATGTAAACATAAATTTTAATATAATAAAGGTTTTGTAATTAATAGTTATTAGTCTAATCATAACAGTTTTGTAATTTACACAAGCTTTTTGCCGTTTTAACTTTATGGTTGCTAGGTAACATTTATGGACTTACCTACGCATGTCACATCTGCTGTGTCTAACCAGAAAGTAAACTTATAATGTTACTTAAAAAATTAAAATTTGAAAAAAAGTTAAATCCTCAAGTATGTTGTAGGTTTTAGTGAAATTGGTAGTCTAGTCTAACCTGTCATATGCACTTTAAGGAATTGATGGACAAAACAGCCAGTGTCAGCTCTGGCCTGGTTTTAGCTGACGTGCAGTTTCGATTGGCTCTCGGGCCCTCCTCAGTTGTGCATGGCTGCCATCACTGTTGGCACGGACCGTGTACACTGTGTGACTTATAATTGTCAGGAGCAAAGACCACAATAACACTATACAATTTTAATGCTTCTTTCTCTTTAGGTTTCAGGGGCCCAGCAAATCATCTGCTTTATATTGTTCTTTAATGGGTTTTTATTACAACCTCCGTTTCAAAAAGTTAAGTGCTGTCAAGACATTTATCATTAAATTAGTTTGAAAAGGGTAACACTGTATAATGGCTACACTTTTAATAGACTTAATAAAGCATAAAGGTGCATTAAGTAACTTTTTGGTTGGGGGTATGTCACCTCCTTGTTTCTCTGGATATGTCAGTGCTCTGCCTGGAATGCTCCACAGTATGACATTAAAAATCTCTACCATAAATTAACAAAATTACAGGCTTTATAGCTCAAAAAATACCTAGAAAAACAGGCATTCTGACTGTCAGTGGGGTTGTCTCTCCACAGATCTGACCTGTCTGGTTTGATCTCCATGAAGATAGAAAGGTTTAATGCCATACTGTGATACATTTCAGACAAAGCAATAACATCTCCATGGAGAAAAACATTTGACGTACCTTTCAGCAGAAAAGTTACAGAATGCACCTTTTATGCTTTATTAAGACTAGAAAACCAAAAAGTTGAATTCCCATTAAACATATCTTTTGAAAATAAAGAATCATTTTGACATAATTCGTACTTGGAAACTGGATTTGTAGGTCCAATTTTAATGCAAACCTCTTCATTCTGGACTAATGGATATAGAAACATACCGGCTAATGACCTCTTAATGCACAAACTTTTAGAAAATCTATTCTTGACTCCCATTTGAGTAACTGCAATGGCTCACTAATATAAACTCACCACAGGGACATCCAAGGACGCCATCAAATATTTAAAGAACGAATTACTAAATTATAGATGACATAATGATGAGTTACTCCAACAATATGCAAGTCACTCACTGTTTCTCAGCCTTCTCCCGGTCGTCAAGGAAAAACAGCGCCGTTGCTAGGAAGAACATGCCCCCCAGGACGATGATGAAGGGGCAGAGCATGAGGCATATCCCAGACTCAGGAACTTCCACAGGGTTGACGTGGCGTAGCTCTTCTGAAGACCATCTGAGATCTGGAACAACAATAAAAAAAGGCAATGATAAACTAGACCTCAGCTAAACCTTAGAAAAGAATATTGTGTTCCGTAGTGATTTAGTACAGAGCCATAGCGTTACCGGATACTCATTTTTTGCATATGTAAGTAGACCATAAAGTGTGATCAGGGCAGTAGGCAGGGGAAGGACAAAGAGGTTTGTTCTCCTGAGCCTCTAATTGGACCCTCTTCCTATTTGTTTATATTTGAGGAGGACCCATTTGAGACATTTTGGCTCAGGCCCAGGGATGTAGTGAGCATGGTACGCAGGGGTACGCCATCCCGACATGAAATATAAAAAAAAAAAAAAAGTATAAAATAGTCAACAACCTATAAATGTCAAACTGGAGCTACTGGCAATAGTGAAAACAACCTGCATAGCCTCATGATATCTGCAGTACTGTCCTATAGTGACCTGCCACATGAGGGGACCAAGACTGAGCCAGGATTGATCTCAGGACTGAATCAGGACAAAAACAGGACTAAGGCAGGAATAAATTGGGACTAAACCAGGACTAAACCAGGACCAAACCAGGACTAAACTAGAACTGAATCAGGACTGAGTGTCTGCATGGGCCCGGAGGTGTGCCTGCATTGACTGTCAAGTGACCGCAGGCGTAAGGACTGACGCAGAGCTCCATGCCCGCGGGGCTAAATGCAGCCACCGCCAGATCGGTCTTTGCAGACACCCTGCTCCACAGGCTTGGGGTTCTCTCTCTCTCGCTCTCAAGTCCAAAATTAGTCCTGTTTTACACCTGGTTCAGTCCTGGGCATGTGTTGTAGCCTATGATTTATGTTCTGTAGGTGATTATGAATGGCGTTAATGTTAATAATATTAATAGGTGGGCGGGATTCATCACATCAATAACATCATGAATCGTGTACCCCCACTTAAAAAATCCCCACTACACCACTGCCTGGGCCCTCACATTTCTGTCAGTGGACCTGAATATTTTATTATTGCAACAGAAATTATCTCAGTAAATGATCATACTGAAGATACAGATACTTCTCTGTATTTGAGCAAAATGAGTTTTGACCCAGTACAGATAGACTGTATAAGAAGCTCTTGAGGTCAAAAAGTGATCTGTGTACTGTCTGCATCTAATTAAAGAATTTTATGGTCCAGTAATCAGGAGGTTTGTGTAAGCATGCTAGTTATTGTTAGTTTACCATCATAGCAAAACTCAGTTAAGTTACTATTGACAGTCTACAATTGAAATGTCATTGAACAGGCCTATATGTAAGTCCTTTACTCAGGTATATTCATTCACTTCTTGACTGGCTTTATTTCTTTATAGCATTAGCCAGTTTCCCCACTTTAAAAGGCATCGGTTTTGTTCAAGCTGATTTATGCTGACGAAAACAACAGCTGTACAGTGCTGGGTGTTACTGACCCCTCCTGTATCCATCACGGTACAATCACTACACACTGACAGAAGCTCGTGAGGGGAGAGGAAGCTGGTCGGAGTATGGCTATTAGCAGATTAGAGTAGTCCTGGTGTATGTCGCTAGTATGAGAGAGGGGTTTTCGTGTTTGGGAGTGAGTACGCAGAGCCATAGGTCACTGGGCTGCAGAACATTGATTATATGTTGCAGTCAGCAGAAAGTGCTTCTCAATGGGGACTGGAGCTGGAATAGTGCTGACAGGCAGATGTCACAGGAAGAGCCTTTAATTCACTGTACGCTCCTGTGTTCCTCCATAGTAAAAAGAAAAGGAAAATGTGTACCACTTTATAATGACTACACTTAAAGTTGCTCCTCTGCGAAGCATTTATAGTGAGGGGTCCGCCGCCTCCTTATCTCCATGGAAATGTTATTGCTTTGTCTAGAATGTTCCACAGTACAGATTAAACCTATTATGAGGGACACAAGCAGGTTACAACACTATGGTACATTACTCATACTATGGAACATTCCAGAAAAAGCACTAACATCTCCATCGTGACAAGCAGGTAGCGGACTCTCCACCAGAAAAGTTGTGTAGTGCACTTATAAAGTTGTGCTGTGTAACTTTCCTGGGGGAAAGTCACCTGTTCGTATGTGATCATGTTATTGCTTTGTCTAAAATGTCCATTTTGCATTCGTTCAATTAAAGTTGTTTTTATGGCTGAAAAATACATTGAAATACATTCATTCTTACTGTGAGTGTAGTCTCCTCTCCATAGATCTGACAAATCTAATGCTGTATTGTGGCACAGACAAAGCAATAACATCTACATGGAGACAAGCACTAAGCGGACCCTCCACCAGAAAAGTTACACAGTGCACTTTTAATAAAGCACAAATAAAGGCTTAATTCATAATGAACAAATAGTTTACTAAGAATGATTCAAGTTAGTCCCTTTGTATTCTCACATACAGTACTACCACTACGCTATCTACATTACTGCTGTCTTATAGTGTACCAGCTTTGGCCTAGGATAGTGGGAACAGGTTTCATATCTGCATCTACTAGTAATAAACTTACAGATGGTAACTTTAAAGAGTGTTAAGTAGTCACTAAGCCTGAATCACTCTTAATCATTCTGGCGGCACGTGCAGACATAGACACGCATGTGATAAAGAGAAACATAATTTCGATGCCTTTCTATGTCTAGTACATGTGAAGAAATTGACAATAAAGCTAACTTTGAACTTTGAACAAACTACATGTTCATTATGAATTAAATCTTTGTTCAAATTTTGTTAAGACTGTTAAAAGTATAGTCATTTAAAGTGTTATCAGACAACGTTCTCTGTGTTGAGCTGTGGGTGGCCCAAATAGCTTTAATTTATCCAACAAAATTGCAGAACATTAGGAAAATGAAACTGAACTAAAAATACATGGCCAAAATGTGTAATTATCAAGCTTGAAGGCATTTCTGGGCAGATTGCTAAGAGATTGTCCCCTGCCACGTGCTCATATACTGCAGACGTCCATTATGTGCTTCTCTGGGGATGCTGATGGGACAAGAGCCTGTGAGTACGTGAGTGGAGAGCTTTCCTGGCTCAAGTACATTCTTTGGGAAAAAGCCTGTGCACGGCATCTTTGCATTTCAACCATATACTGTATATGCATGGAAATCAGTATGATAAGAAATTAGGACTGTTGCCTTTAGGGGTGTGCAAGAATATCGAAGTATGGTTTAATGTGATGATACAGTATCGATATTGTGGGCTGCTGTATCGACGTATCTCTAAGAGTATTTTTTTGGTATATTTTACTAAATTATTTTGTTACAGTGCTACAGTTTTTTTGCTTGTTTAGACGAGGGAAACTCATTTATGTGACACATTTGATATTTTCACTATTTTGATGATAAAAATGTTTGTGTTTCATATGAACTTTGCACAAGAAGTGGTTTAACAAAGACTTTTAGTATCACAGCCATGATTTAGCCATTATTTTTTTATTTAACTGTATTGTATCGATTTGAAATATATCGTATTGAATCGAAAGCACAAGGTATGTATCGAGGTATGTATCATATCTGCAACTTCTTAATGATTCCCAGCCCTAGTTGCCATAGTGATTAACAATTAAAAATAATATTTTATCTTTTGAATGGATTGATGAATTTATCACTGATCAGCAGTGTTTTATATTTTTCTCACTAATTATGTGCAGTTTGAAGCATTAATTGTGTACTGGAATAAAGTTACTCAAAATTCTGAATACGTATTACCTCCCAACTCTGTCCATAGCAAAAGAAAACTTACTTTCTGTCAACTGGTCTTGATGTAAAACTTTTGTCCAGTCAACGGAATTTATTTTTTCTTTTCCTATTCTGACTTTGGGCAAGACTGTTACCGATGAGTAGAGCTGACCGCTGTAGTGCTGTAGTGATGAGGTTCTGGGCTCACGTCACCAGAACCTCATCACACTCTGGTGCCAAACCTCGCTGCAGGAAACAAGGCAGCGAATGTGACGCGCTCTGAGCTCTCTGAGGTTTGTGGAGAAGTGAGAAAGTCCCAGGACATTTGTGTGTCACTGGAAGGGGGAAGCTGTCACCCAACGCAGATGACCAGAAGGTTTGAGGGGGCACCGTTGAGTTATTGTGGCTGGAAGGGTGCGTGTTTGTATGTATCAGCATCCGAGGCAGTATGACGATAATGTGCTCCCATAGGCTCAGGGCCACTTTGACTATATATGTTGTTTAAAATGAACTGGCATCTGGGACTTATTTGAAATACCCATACAAAAACAATATATTTGAACTGTACTATGTAAAGGGGCGGGATGATTACTGAAAAATAGATACTGCAGTGAATGTTATTTTGAGGATAAAAGGATAAAATAAGAGTAAAATAAGGGTATTCAGTTCAGTTTCTGCACTTTTATGCATAATTTTACAGTGATTTCACATTTTCTTGATTCTTAAACCCCTTAAAAGTCACACATTAAAAACAACATTTCTGCTGAATTGACATAATACTGAACACCCCCAAAAATAACAGTATATTCATTTTTGTCATTATTTCCCACCTCTAACCATAAAAAAGGCTATGGTACAAATGCATTTACTCCTTTGTCAATAGAGTCAGGAAGCTCTGTGCTTGTGAACCGCCACTGGGGAGAGGATTATTCAAACTCTGAAGCTCTTGTCGATACATAAAGATCCCACAATTTTGGCTTTTGGCACTGAACATTATTTCCATTTGAGAAAAATACACACAGCTGACTCCGCATCTGCTGTAAATCTGTGAGATGATTGGCCAATTCCCTAATCAAAGACTTCCACTGCTTTTGTTAGGTTGACCCAGGCACTAAGCCAAGGGCACCACAATAACACAACGCAAACAGGCAGCATAAAGAAAACCTATTATCTTTTGGCTGCACAATACAATACACTGCAAAAAACGAAAATATGGCCAAGTTACAGGTGCACTGTGTAAATTTTCTTATGGAGGGTCTGCCATCTTCTTGTCTCCATGGAGATGTTTTTGCTTTGTCTGGAATGTCCCAGTATGGTATTAAAGGTGTCCATCGTGCTTTTACTCAATAACATGGGTTTTTATTATTTATTTAGATTAAAAACTTACATTCTTATTGTGAGTGGGCTTGCCTCTCCACAAATCTAACATGTAAATTGGCTTTATGTCGTCACCTGCTATTTCCTTAAAGATAAATAAATGTAATGCCACACTCTCCACCGAGCAAAAGTTACACAGTGCACCTTTACTTGAATTAAGAAAGTTTTATCAAGATTTGAGCAAATTTCACATCCCAAGTAAAATCATCTACCAATGGAACAAGATTTTTTGTACATAAAATATGAAAATACTTCTTCCTACACAGCTTACACATAAAATAAGAAAAACAACAATTCTTAGCGCTTAAAATAAGAATCAAAATCCAATGTTGCAAATTAAGAATAACTTAAAAGAAATACTTACTCCACTGGTAGATTTTTTTACTTGCCAAGTTTAATCTACTCAAATAAAGTAAAATGTTCTTAAATTAATGGATATAAAACTTTGGCTCAGAAAATGTGTGGATTTTGATTCATATCCACAAAAGTAGTTCAGTAAAGCAGTGCACAGATTAGCCTACTTCTTGTGGCCTCTCAAGTATAAAAATATGCATACACACCTTCACTCTCAATACATAAATTAGCCATTCACTTGTGTTCTGTTCACTCACTGTTTCTCCTATAATGAACAAGTGAGTGGTGGTTGGGGGTGGGGCAGCTGCTTGGTCGGTGTTTACTGTGACCTTGACAGACCGAGTGTCCCCGCTAAGTGCCCCCTCCTTCTCCAGACCAATCAAATACAGTACACTGGCCCCTTTTGGGAGCTCTAAGATTTACTAGAAGACGCTCTGACAGGCTGAAGACTGCTGGTGAAATCACAACTATGTTCAGGCGTCCTCTTGGGAGTGTGGCTAAAAGCTCCACTTGTTCTAGTCTTTGCACTGGCCCACTTAAAGCTCATTTGGCGTCTCAATGTGTCCTGTGTGTGTGAAAGGTGCTCTCAAAGATACTATATGTTCTAACATGTATTATAAATGAACCAGGGTCTTATGTAATTGGGACTGTTATTGGACTCTATATATCGATATTTGAAAATCCAGGATGATATCTCGATATTTTTTAAAAAGGAGTGATATCAGTCTGGTCCCCACGCTCTCCATCGTGCTGAGCAGAACCAAACATGATTGTGGAGTCCGATTAGTATTTATAAGGAGCTCACTGGTCAAATGTCGTTGACAAACAAACTCACATTTCCCTCACCTCAGATTAACAGATTTTTGTTCTTCTCTCATTGACTCTAAAGAAATCTGTGATCTCTCTTTTTTCCTTGTCAGCAGCTAAATTTGTTTTCAGAATGTGTTAGCATGACAGGTCTTACGTAAAAGGCCAGACAAACATATCTGCTCTTTTCAGTCTTACCAGTCCGATGAGATACGGGCTTCCTGCGTCTCCCAGAAGATGAGAGGTGAAGCTCTGAAAAGCCACTGCTGTTGCTCTCCGTGTCGGGATGACCACAAACTGCACAGAGGCACAGGGCGAAAAATGCATGAAATCAGGTACAATAATTGGGTCAAGTGGGAGTTAATTGAAGGATTCTTGAATTATGATCCTCCTTGTCTCTATGGAGGTGTTATTGCTTTGCCTGCAATGTTTCACAGTACAGCTTAAACTAATCAATCTCTATAAAGATGAGTAGGTAACACCATTAGGCCTAGTTAGAAATTAGATGTGATGAGAGGTGAACCCGCTCACAGTAAGAATTAGGGCCGCACAATTATGGAAAAATCATTATCAAGATTATTTTGGTCCATATTGAAATCACGATTATTCTAACGATTATTTTTTTGTTACAGAATGCATTTATTGAGCATTTCTGTCTCAAAAAAAACCCAACAACAACAACACTTTGTTAATGATAATTTATGCAAACTTTCAAATTGAAAAAAAAAAGGCTATAACTATGTACCTTAGAGCAGTTTTGCGATGTATACATACACACATAAAATGAATAAAATATACTTTGAACATGTAATGAGGCATAGAAAAACATAAATGCATCCAAAATAAACTATATATCCAGCTGTTCAACAATCTCTATATTAAAAAAATAAAATATACTTATTTATGTAAAATATATATCCCAAAATAAACTTTGTTAAGCTTTAATTGTTTCAACTCGATCATATGAGTTTGGAGATCGTTTGACGCACAAATCAAAATCGCGAAATCAAAATTAAATAAATTTGCACAGCCTTTGTAAGAATGCTTGTTTTCATTTTTAGTAATTTATTAGTTTAATGTTGCACATAGGTACGGGTAAAGCAATAACTATTCAAATCTCCATGGAGACAAGCAAGTGACAGAAAATGTACATAATGCGTCATTCTTAATAAACTATTTGTTAATTATGACTTAACTCTTTGTTCATGCTTTATTAAGACTAATAAAAGGCAACAATTCAAGTCAGTACTCAAGTAATGCAAGAGAAAGCACACAAAGTCCATTCTGAGCCTGCACAAAAATAAATATTGAAGTAGTATATATGGCCAAAAGTGTAAAACAATACTATATGCATTATATAAGAGTCAATTACATTACAGGAATATCCAGTAAACAAACTGACCAAAGTGTAGGTTTTTTATAACATACCATTAAAATATCTGCTGTGATGGCCCAGTTCAGGAAGAGTAACGTTTCTCCAATGAAGATACACACCTAAGGGACAACACAATGCAGAATAAGTATTTTGAATCATAAATTAAAGACATACAACATTATCCAAAAAGCAGGTTTGTTTCTCATATCGTGCCGCTGTGTGTGAATTGGGGTATGTCTAAATGCACATTGGTTAGCTTGGTTTCCAAACATGTCATTATGTTGTGGCACAATTATACATAGATACACAGGCCTTCATTTTGGTCCTGTAAAGTGGAGCGTTTGGCCAGCAGTATGATAAGGGGATTCTGGTAAAAGCCATAAAAATAAATGGTGTATGTTTGTTTTTGCATGTTGGATTGGGTGGGGCAAAAATATCGTCTTTAAATAACAGCGTTAAATTGAAATGCGGCGTGCAATATGCATGTATGTATGTATATAGGGTGTTAGCAGCTGGTGTTACTTAAAAAACATATGGCCCTCGCTTACAGTGGAATCTCATATATCGGGCTGGATGGTTTAATCTGGCATGGTTCAACACGGATGATGGAAGTGGGTTTTCTACAGGAAACTACCCTCAGTCAGGCCAATGTTACAGTATGGACACATGCATATTATGGCTGAGAATCACAGGAACCCTCACGATTTGATCAGATACATGATACATGGCTCAAGATGCGATATTGTCATGAATATATGGTGATACTCAATATATTGTACATGATACTCCATGACATATTGTTTTTTAAGAACCAAATACATTTTAGCAACAACATTTCTTTGTTAAACCACTCTGTGCAAAATTAACATGAAACACATCTATTTAAATAACCAAAATAGTAAGTATGTCAGGTGTATTGCAAACACAAGTTTCCTTCCACTAAATAAGCAACAAAATTATCATATGGTCACAAAAAAAATGGTTAAAAGATACAAAAATACTCTTGGCGATATATTGATACAGCGGCCCATGATAACGATACTGTATCACCAAATTTTGTATCCCGACATATCAGTATTTTGATATTATTACAGGTCATTATTGAATGTATGAAGTTTGCTAATAATTGTGAGCAGCTGACTATCTTAAATTTCCTTTGGGATTAATTAAATTATTCAATCACTCTGTTTATCTATTTATCGATGTATTTAATTAACACAAAAAATGTGAATAAAGATTTCACAGAAGATATTTTACTTGTCTTTTGTCTAAATTTAACTACGATCCAATGAAGCACCCATAACTGCAGAGTCAAGTAGCTTCAACTGAGCAGAACTGGCTGTGTCTTGTATATCGGGTAATTTCACACATCTGTCTATAGTTTGCTGTGAAAACTTACATCTCATAAACTGTTCTTTCATTTTCAGATGTTTTAATATTCAAACTGACAGCTGCAGGAATGTTGTATATTATATTTTCACTTATGGAAAGTCCATTTTAAAGGTTTGTAAAACACACAGAGCCTTTGGATATAAAGTTAAGAATATTTCATTTTATGCATGCGAGTGGATACTGGAAAGCTCGTGTGGTTCAAAGGCGCCTTTGGCTGAAAAGAGGCAGAGTTTTAGTACCATATATGTTTTCCAAAAGCGTTTTTATTTTTGAGGTAATTTGTTTTTGTGTGTCATGCTATATTATGCTATTTTTGTTTTGTAAATACTTATAAGAATCCATACATATAAAAAAAATGACAAAAACAAAAATCTGACCAGTGTGCAATCAGCAAGTATGAGATTAAAATTGACATATGACTGAATATTATAAAACAGAGGTAGGTATAACATGAGCACATGGCGATCATCATTTAAAGTGCAAATTTAGGAGTGTGGCAACCTCGGGAAAAAACTGTCCCTCAAATATATATTTTTTAAATTTATATCGTATAGCAGAGTTGGGGACTTGTAAGTTGTGACTTGGACTCGAGTCAGACTTGAGTCACTATTTTTTTGACTTGTCACTTGACTTGATAAAACAAAGACTTGGGACTTGACTTGGACTTGAAGGTCAGTGACTCGGGATTTGACTCAAACTTGAGGCCTGTGACTTGAGAAGACTTGATGCTTAGACTAGTTGACAAATGAACTGTTATTAAATTTTCATTCTTTCATTTAAAAAAGAACAATTAGCGTTTCTGCAACTCTTATAAAAGAAATACTCATATACCATGACCTTTTAAGTACAATTCAGTTTAAAATTCATATAAATTGCAAAAATCTAAACTATATTTGGTTCTTTGGATTAAAGACTTGAAACAACTTGAAGCTCAAAGCAGACGACTTGGACTTGACTTGGAGTTTTGGGCCAGAGACTCAACTTTGACTTGCCTGTATTTGACTTGGGACTTGACTCTGACTTGAGGTCAAAGACTTGAGACTTACTTGAGACTTGCAAAACAATGACTTGGTCCCACCTCTGTTGTATAGTATTTGTATCTGCATAGTTTTGGTCACACTATAACCTTACTACTATGCTATAAAACTGTATCTTATGCTTAACCCTTGCTCACTGAACATGTGCAAAGTGTAAAACAGGAAGGAGGAAGTGTGCAAAGTCTATTCTTTATTGGAAGAACAGTTATTTCTTGTGACAACTACTACTACTACTACTACTACTACTCCGACTACGACTTATTCTGCTATTTCTAGTACTACACATTTAGCCAAATTGTTTTTCAAAATCCCCACATGCCACCCATGGACCACACTTGAAATGCTGGACAGATTTACGAAGCTTGTTGTTTGGTTGAGACTATTTCCTTTTTAATTTAGCCAGTCGGTCTGATATGCGATAAGAGTGTGAAATCTGCACTTTGGGCCCATTTACACCATTGTTCTAAGGCTGTGAATAGTAACTACCACCCTTTCCTCTATTAAATCTGCACTATGCAATGCCAGATCTCCTGCTTGGGAATAAAAACAAGATATACAAACCTCTGGCACCTGTAACCACATCTAAGGCCACTCTAAACAGGCAGTTAAGGTTAAGAAATGCACAGAAACACCCACTAATTAGCTCAACCCAAGCAGTTGCATCCTGGGAATTGCTATGACTTCACCTTTAGAATGAGACATAACACATAACATTTCAAAACCCCAGGGCTGTGTTAAAATATAAAGTGATCAATATATCTGGTTTCTAAAATTGGTGATACAGTACTGAGATTAATATATTGCTGAGTATTTAAGAGTATTTTACTGTATATTATCCCAAATTACTAGTTGTTGTGCGTAATAGTGAAGATTTCTGTTTGCAATTGATTAATAATTGTGTCTGAACTGAAATGTACTGAGTTTAAATGTTTTAACGTCACTATTAGTGTTGCTGTTTTGTCTTGAAAAGGGAATACGGGGCAGATAATATAAGATGACTCGTCTTTCTGCTCCTTTTCATTCGTTTCTTGTATGTTTGATGTTGTGACACTGTTGATGTCTTTTTATACTATATGAATGAAATAAACAAATAATAATAAAATATAGAAAAATCTGCCCATTCGGGATCTCTGAAGAGCACCTGCTTGTTACTTCACTCAGCGGTGATCCAGCCCCCTCCATCCCCATTATATATTCTCAGTATTATCCTACATGTATTTGCAACAACACTGCAGTTTTGTTGCTTGTTTAGAGAAAGAAAAGTTAATACGGTGCATTTGTCCTATTGAATGTTTTGATGATTAAAATGGGTGTAGTTCATAGTAAGTTTGTACAGGTGGTGGTTTAACAAAAGCAACTCTTGTTAAAAGGTATTTGGTTGTGAAAAAATATCAATAAATATATATCCTCATTGCAAATATTGCTTCTTTGGAGTGGCTGGATTTTGTTGTGTTTAAAGACTGATTTCCTTATTCATTATATTCACAAATGTTGACTCTGATCATGCCTATTAGTAAGTACACCCAGAACTCACTATATTACAACAAAAAACAGTATTTTGACCAAATTGATTTTAGCTGCCACTCATTTGTATTAAATATTTACCCTAAAAAAGTTGCAATGTCACCTAAAACCACAATAAATCATTTTCGTATTGAATTATGTGGGATGCTGTGATTCCCTGACCTACAAAACCTTGATGTACTTTCCGCCACTCTCTAGAGACTTGATCATTTGCTCTTATCCATAAACATGTCCTCACTATCTGATCACACCTCTTCCTTCCTGCTCAAATACCAAAGTTAGAAAGGAAATGACCCTTACGTAAGCTCCAATGATGCTCTTTTTGGCCACAACGAAGATGAGGCAGATGAAGATGGCGGATCCCAGCATGCTCACGGCGCACACCAGGGGGTCCGCACGCTCGGTCTTCTGGCGACAGAGGCGAGTGGTGGCGGCTCCTATGACCACACCCAGAAGTCCAGTGACGCAGGTGATGGCCCCGAAAATCATACTAGGAGAGAGGAGTGGAAAAGCCGTCACATCACACACACGAAGAATGACTACAATGTTAACAACAGCATGATACTAACTCATTTACTTATCTTACTTGGTTTTGTTAAGTTCTCACATCAGAATTCAAAAAGAAAAGAAACATATACCACATTTTTTAGTTTTATGTTAGATGTTATATAATACCTTATGTTTTTCTATGCATGTTTGTGTTTTCTTTATTAATAAGAGTGTTACCTTTTAAGTGTCAAATTAAAATGCACATTTATTCTCTGCCTTTTGACACTGCATGAGTTGTGTGGTCCTCTGTATCTTTTATTTATTTTACTTATTTTACTTATTTATTGCTATTTTATGATTTTTATGGTTTTTGCTTTTATTTAGATTTTACTGGGTTTATTGTTTTAGGACTGGTATGACCCAATTTTAGGAATTTACCTTTTTGTTGTCTTCATTTTATGATCTCACATATGATCGCACTTTGGAAACTGCTTTGTTTGTAAAATGTGCTACAGAAATAAAGTGTATTTTGATTTTGATTTGAAGAAGTGGTAGAAAGACTGAAAATTTGTAGTTACATGGGGGGGAAAAGTACTCAATTATAAGTACTAATGCTACCAAATTTGTACTTAGGTAAAACTAGTACAAAATACTAGTTACTTTTGAATGTTATTTTAAGAGCATTTTAGATCACTCTTTTATCTCACTTTTTCATATAACTTGATAAATTTAACAGTTTAAAGTTGAATTTAAAGCCACAATCTGCATATACTTTGAGCTGGTGTAAATTACAGCAGGCAATGCAGAGCTGTTGTGTTAGAATTTAATCAATGCATTTAAATATATTTGCAACACAAATGAACTTTTGTTGGGAAAATGCCAATTCAATAACCCTGCAACAAAAAGAATGTACTAGAACTAGAGGAGTTACTCAGCAGCCATGTTTCTGTGAGAAGTCCACTGTCTCAAGACTAAAGCCAAAGTGAGTGATAGTACAATGGCACCTTTTGTACCGCAGGCTTCATGTTACACACTGAGCTTTAAGTCTTTGACCACTCACCTGTCTGTGCTGTTGCAGATCTGGTTGTTTCCACATGGTACAGCGGTCTTTTGAACTTCCTGGGCTCTGGTGAGGTACAAAGGAATCCACATCCCAAAAGCACCTGTGGCGAAGGACACCGCCGCAGACGCAAGCGATGAAAAAACATAACTCCGACTGTGGACAGACAAAATCAAAACATCAAATTATCTCATCATAGGAAAAAACAAACAACTCTCATAATCGCTAACCATCACCTGTTTATGTCTGAGCAGCTTAACAACACAAGATAAGAACAACACATATCCGCTTTTGTTGACCTTTTGGAGATTTTTATCACAACAAAAATCAATGTAACACAGCGTTTATGCCAAAAGGCTGTGAAATGTGATTGTGTTTATAAGCAGTGTGGTATAAACAAAGCTAGAGCACTCATCGCCATGGTAACCTATAATAACATCCTTCTAGTTTCAAGAAGCAACTCAATAACTCATTCAGATTATAAGGGACTTTGTATTTGTGCTTTATCTAATGGCCAAACTAATGTTGTTTTTTAATATTGCGGATAAAAAAAAAAAATCTTAATTATTATTTATCTATCATAGTTAAGTGTGTGTTAATGGCTGTGTCCATATAATAGACCATATAAAGAACTAAGGGAATGTGACGTCACTTATAGCATTTGGCTCCAGTCAAACAAGGCTAGCCAAGTTCAAGCATAGGATTTTTTTATGGACCAATTGCGAAATAACACCAAGATCATGTAGAATGGGTTAATACATACATTTTAGTTATTTTAATTGGAGTCGATGGATTCCTATCTCGAATGTGGCAGATAGTAGGTTACATTGGGTTGACATGCAATTATAATCCTGCATTTTTACAATAAAGACATTTTGATTTGATAGCAATATATTATAGAAACTAATAAATGTGAACTACTGTTTTGAGTTTATGTTTACGTCTGTCCAATTTGCTATATGTGCCCTATTGTTTCCCATAATGACAGGACATATCTTGACTGGGCAGTGCTTGTTTGTCTTGACAGGGCCTTACTTCTTTGCGCGCTTTCATGTCACAGCACCAGGAGGTCCGGGTCCTGATGCGGCCCCCCATCTGGTCGGCACTCCCCCTTTTGGGCTCCGGGACAAATACAAGCATCAGCGTTCCAGCAGTGATACCCAACATAGGAGAAACCTACAAGCATACACAACAATAGAGCTGTAATCAACTGAAGAAATACTTGATAGACTAAAACTAAAGATTTGAGCAAAAACAACAGAGTATTCAGAAGTGATAATGCAGATTAAACTTTCCAGTAACTTCCAAAACCCCCAGCTAACTCTTTAATTCAGGCTTAATAGCTACTTGTTTTATGGGTAAGGTGAAGATTTAGGCTTAAATAGCTACTAGGCAATAACAATTTGTTCATTATGAATTAAGTCTTTGTTCATGCTTTATTAAAGGTCCTATATTATGCAAAATCGAAACCTGTGAGCTTTTAGCCATGTTATAATGTTGTATTACGTCCTCAGAATTGTGTTTTGTTTCATTCACACATGCAAATTAAACTGTCTACATCGTCACAGCACAAAATGCCCTGTTCCACCTTGTGATGTCATGTATTGGTAGTTTTCAAGTTAACAGCTACCTTTACCCTTTTGTTAAGTAGAGACAGGCAACTCCAGGGCTGAAATTATCCAAATGAGATGACATCAACAAGGTAGAACAATGCTTTCTGTTTGAGAGAAGAACTGGATTTGTGCTGGGTTTGTGTGTGAAACAAAACATGTGTGAATGAAACAAAACACGACTCAAAGTATATTTGTGAGAAGGAAACAACACTATAACATAGATCTGAAAATACTGTAATATAGGATTTTTAAAGTTTATATTACAAAGAGTTACCAAGAAACCATTAACCAATTTATCAACTAAAGGGCTACAGCCTTACACACCAGACAGATATTTCACTGGGAGTGGTTTGTCAGATACTGGACAAAGCAGTCTCTGTGTACAGGCTCAATGCTGAGACACTATTTGCTGTTACGCCTGACATCCTATACAAGCCCTCAGAAACCCAGTGCAGGCCCTTTGCTTCTCTGCACTCCCTATTCTCATACACTTGCATGTTTTTGCATGTGAGGGGGAGGAATACAAAGGGTGTGGTGGAGGGAATTGCTTACAGAAGTCAAATCTGATTTTTATTACTTTAAAAATGTGAAAAACAAAACAAGTTAATTTTAAACGGTCTGCAGTGGGCCATGGTTATTCTTCACCTTCAATTTTTGATGCATTCAGAGCATCCTAATTATTCACCACGATGAGTTTGTAAGTCCTTGTCATGATTCCCAGAGGTCAGGGCAGAGTTTTGTCATCACGGTAATGCTGACAACTAGCATGCTAACAACACACTTCCCAATTGTCAGACAGAACACAGCAGATTTATTTTGACCGCAAGAGACTCTGATCTTCTGATTTATGTAATAATGTTATGATGATTCCTCATAAGAAACATACCTGGAGTTGTGTTTTGTTGCATTCTCACATGTTTAATACACAAATCCTGCATCTTTAGTTAATTCTCTCAAACAGAAAACACTGTTCTACCTTGTGATGTGTAGTACAAGAAGTGCTTCACTGTGCTTTTAACCTCCATACACCTTTACTAGAATTATCTGATCACTTTCAACTCTGGAATTGCCATTTTTTTATACAAAACAAAAGGTAAAAGGTGCTGTTAACTTGAAAACTACTGCGTTGTGATGTCATGAAGAGGATGATTAACGTGTGTGACTGAAACAAAACACAACTCCAGGTATATTTCTGATGAGGAAACAACATTATAACATAGATTAGAAAATTGCGTGAAGGCCCTTTAAGAAATACAATTGCTTACCAAGGCAAAAAAACAAAACGATTTAATCTGTCAAGGGGCATTTGTCATATAACATTATGCAGTTCATATACACTCATTGATATGCATACATATCATGAGTTCTCATTATAGCAGTATTTCTGAGGAGGATGTGGCTTATATAGATGATGAAGCACTTGGCTGGTTTTATTGTGTTGTGGTAGGGGCTCAATGTACACATAGAGTGATTAATTGTTTCCCCATACATTATGCAGGCACTGGAAATAATTGGATGAAATCAAAAGCAGGAAAAATGCATGTGGCTTTTGAAAGATGCCGAAGAATAACATTTTCATCTTCACAGGAACCTTTATATTTATTATGTTGTCACTCTGACTGATGAACCTTGACCCTGACTCTCTTTGCACCCATAAGACACTTCCGGTGTGGGTGCTATCCAATCACACAAATTAATAAAGTGCCCTCTCTGGATTCTTATTCCTAAACGCATGACCTTGTTTATCGTTCATTTGTATTGAATAAAAACAGGGAAGTCAATTGGGACATGGGGTCAAAAGCACACGGAAACTTCAGAGTGTTATTTCCTTAAAGCAGGATGTATCTCAGAGGCAGAAGTTGTTTCATGTCTAAGGATGTGTTTTCCTGGAATTCCTGAACATGCCACAAGGCTGATTAATGCACTTTGAGATTGTTAATAGGAATGTCATTGTGCCCGGCTGGAACAACATGAAGAAATAGACTGTCCCTGTTTCCTGTAGATTGGTGAGCCTTCATCTTTATCATTAGAGGTGGGGAATATAGTGAAAAATTGGAAAATATGTAAGTCAGAATCAACATTGAATTTAACATTGTATCACCAGCTTTAAGTTCTTGGGTTCTTTTTAATGACAATACATTAGGAAATGTATTTACCTTGTTGAAATGAATTCAGAATTGTATTGTCTTTAAAAAGAATCCAAGAATTTAATATACAAAAGAAGACAAAATGAAAGTTTGGATTAACAATTGTGCCTATATCTTCTGTAATTAAAACTGCTAATGATCACAAAAAGTAAAATAATTAAAAAGTGGTTAATTTTCAAGTCCATTTTGTTACTTGATACTTGAACCTCGATACACGAATCAAGATTTAAGAGTCAAGATTCAAGATTCAAGATTTAAAATTCAAGATTCAAGATTCAAGACTTAAAATTTAAGATATTATTGTGACGAAAAAAAAAAAAAAATTACATTTAGCGCATGAAACACTGTATAGTTTTGATTTAATGTGCAATACCCCATTTATTTTAGCACATTTCTGATGCAGAGTTAAAATGTTGTCTGGAAAAATAGATATATTGATAAATTAATTTTTGTCATCATCGCTCACTGCCAACAGAAGCACTCTTACTCTTTGGTCCATGGCTGCTGTCAGGTTGTAATTTGTTCAGAACATTTTAAGAGCTGACCCACAGTGGAGTCCTGTAGAGAGGCCTGTTTCATTGGACCTCCACATTACAGCTGGTATTCCTTATAGAGCTGTTCACTGTGAAATGTTTTGTGTCCTACTCAGCAGAACCCTAATAAAATACAGCAGTGACATCAATGATTTATGTGCCTTTTTCAACACCGTATCTACTTGGAAATGTGCAAATGTGTAAAAACACTAACTGCACTCATTTTACATAAAACTGCCTTCAAATTTAGCTTAATTAGAAACTCTCCAGTCTTAAATGCCTTATTATTTCTAAACAATGGCTTCCTGGAGTGATTGGGCTCATTGTTTACATGATCACTTGTGTCTGCATTTTTATATTCTCATAAGCAATTTACCATTGTAAGCCAAGACAATGCCTTAAAACCAATTCTTCCATGCATATTTAATAGCTTGACCTTAATGAAACTCAGTTGAGAATTTGGTCTATCTCGGCAAAACAATCACTAGATAAAGAAAAAAAGACAGACAGAAAGATGCACCATGACTTTTCTGGTAGAGGGTCTGCCAACTGCTTGTCTCCACAATGATGACATTGTTTTGCCTTGAATGTTCCGCAGTAAGGCATTAAACATATCTTGTTACAGTGAAAATTGATGGATTTAATTCCATACTGTGGGACATACCAAGCAAAGCAGTAACATGTTCATGGACAGAAGCAGGTGGCGGACCCTACAGCGGAAAAGTTACTCATTTATTCATTATGGGTGTTTCTCCTGCTGCTCAAAAATACAATAATTCTTTCTGTAAATAGGGCAGATTCTCCACAGATCTGAACTGTAATGTAGCATAGTGCTTGTCTCCCTCATGATAGGTTTAATCTTTATTGTGGAACATTCTAAACAAAGCAATAACATTTGGAGACAAGCAGGTGGTGTACCCTCCAGTGCACCTTCAATGCTATAAATAGTGCAGTTATTATAGTGTTCCTAAAACATAAATTGTAATCACATCTTGATTGCCTTTATGCTTCTATAGGCACCATAAAGTTAATATAGGAAGCTTGTCATTTTCACATGTGCCAACACCTTTCGCAGAGACTGTAGGTGTTAAAAAAGATAAACAGGTTGTGTTGCCTGCGTGTGTTCACTTCATTTTCATTGCAGAGATGATGCTAAAAGATGCTGATAGCTTGCTCATCGGCCTTGAGCTTCGTCTAGCGTCACTTCCAAACAATGTCATGCCCGGGCCCGCCTGTTCAGCCATGTGCTATGCTCCTGGCCTCCTCTGACCTCGCCGTGACCTCTGACCCTGTATCTATGACAGCAACAGCATCACACCCCCCAGGAGGCGCCCATCTTATGTTTATGGATTTTATGGAGCTGATGATGATGATAAGTGGCTTACCCGCAGTGCCCAGTGCCAGTCTCCTGCTGCCACTTTCGCACTAGAGCCCAGGATGTAGCCGAGTCCGCTGTAACAAGAAGAAAAAGCACATTTTAATACACAAGGATTTTATGTAATCTCTTTTGATTCAAATTGCAGAAAGGTATGGGTTGATATTCTTTGTTGTTATACTTAAATGGTTAAAGGGCTAATCTTTACTGAACAAAAGGTAAGTGGTAGCTGTCAAGCTGAAAACTACATGGCATCAGATGCAGATAGTCTAATTGGAACCCAAAACTAAAACTCAACTAAAACTGGAACCCAAAACTAGAACAGAACTAATCCAAGTCCACATCACAAATAAAACTGGCTCACATTAGGATCACATAACAATGACACACCCACAGACTCTATAACACAGATTTACAAGTATCCAAATGACTAACCAACCCACAAAATACCTGCTACCAATTTCAAAACACTATAGAACAACATAATGTAAGAATCAGCTACCCACGCAAAATCTTGTTTTTACAGACTGGCAGTGGAAGCAGGCCGCAGATTAGCTTGCTGATTGAGCAGTCGTAAACTTTTCTCTAACCTTTACCAGCCATTGAATAACCCTAACCTGACAACAGGGTACAGTACTGCAAAAAACACATCCAGGACGGACACCTAAAGCTGCAGATACACTTGTTATTTCTTGCCTGCTTGTCATTACTCTGCCTGAAATGTTCCAGTCCTTACATTTATTCAGTTGCAGCTGGTTTAATAGCTCAGAAATAGTAAGAAAAGAGGCATTCTGACTGTGAGCAGGGTTGACTCTTAACAGCTCTGACCTGTAACTTTGCCTGGTTTGATCTCCATTAGGGATGTAATAATAACTAAAATATTGTGATATCGTAATGTCAAAAGTCTCACAATAATATTGTGGGCTGTCACAATATATCAAATCATGAGTTCCTTTGCTTAAATGCATGGTTTTATAGTAGCAACAGCTCAAGAACATAGGGAACTACATATCCCATGATTCATTTCAGTGCAGACAACATAAAGAGACATGTTTTTACACCAAAATCTTGTCAATGTATTTTAAAAGCAAACAAGTGTCCCATCTACAATTATATTAGCCTCTTCAAAATATTGCAGTAAATATCATACTGTGAGATGCACTTTGTGATAATATCGTACTGGGAGATTTGGATATCGTTACATGATGGACCCTCTACAAATATTACACATTACAAATATTAAATATTGGCTTTATCAAAGTCAATTTTCAAAAACCTTGCAATAAAATACATTTTTCATTGATGCAAGGTAATTTGTGCCAATACTTCTCGATGGGGGCAAAGAAAAATTTGTCTGAGGGCTGCATTTGGCTCACAGGCCATAGTTTGGACATGCCTGCTCTACCATAAAAGTTACACGATGCACCTTTAAATTTTAACTTTTGTACACAGTTTTAAATCTTGTTCTGCTTAGTTATGATGCACATACAAATTGTACTGTCACTGATGTTCTCGCTGTATTTATATAGGGTGCATGATTCAGTCTTGACTTATCTTGTCTGTCACTTTCACATCTTTTGCCTACGCACCACACTTCCTGTTTGCTGTCTCATTACCGCTCATCCACTTGACATAGAGGCTCTACGACAGATCTGCTGATCAAAGCACCAGCAGCCTCGTGTTTTGTTTTCAATCTCAGGTTTAAAACAGTGCTCCCCGGACATGAAAAGACAGCACTTTGTTTAATGCAGTTATCATAGCTGGAGGTTGGAAGTTGACAGCGTAAAATTGAATAAAAATACTGTCGTAACAAGCCGCCAGGACATCTCAGGTACGACGGATGATCCCCCATGTTGTTAAACGTTTAGCTGCTGAATAATATGTATTTTGAATAGGCTAGATGCAACACAGGAACTTCAGAAGCATCTGTCTTTCTTATAGTTGTATTTGTCCTTCTAAAATTTCAAGTAAACCAGAGAAATCTAAAAAAAAAAAAAAAAAAAAAAAAACTAGAATGATACACCTAGAATTCTTTCAACAACTCAATATTTGTTTTTACTTTTCATGGAGGAGAAGTTACAGGTCAGATTTGTAGAGAGGCGAAGCTGTTCACAGTTGCAATGCATGTTTTTTGTATTTATTATTTTCTATTTTCCAACAGTAAAAACACCTGTAATTGAATACATGCTAGATTCAATACCTTTAATGCTATACTGGGGAACATTCCAAGTGAAGCAATAAGCAGGTGGCACCATCATCTCGAAATCGTTCGAGGCTACAAATATCTATTCTGACTTCTGAAACATCTGTCTTCCTTAGATTTTTATTTGTCCTTGCATATGTTAAACCCAGAATCTGAAATAAATCAATCTCTCTTCAAACTAAGGAGAAAAAAAAAAAAAGAATTCCTCCTACAACCCTGAATCTGCTTTATCCTTTTCCATCTGTAGATGCTTGAAATAGTTTTGATCTGCCTTGGGTAGAAAAATCAACAAGATTTGAGGCTATTAAAACCTGTTTTTGTAAGTTTTTGGCCCAGAGAAGGGAATTTTGAATGTGAATAGCTCTAGATTACTGGCACTAGATTTATGGTTGTTGAGGAAATTTCTCTTATCAGCTTTGTGCAAAACATGTTAATCTGGTTACACAACACACATTTGTAAAGAAAAGATGGAAATGGCTTCAGAAGTTGCCCCCTAAAAATAACAGGTTAGTGACCCAGACGCATATGACGAACACCTTATCGCCGTGGAAACTGCAGTTCAGCTATAACAATAAAGCAATCCAACGCCTCACTCGCCCCGTCGTGGCTTTGAAAATTATGGGAAAAAATCAGAGAGTGGAGTGAACCCTGTTTCCTCTTAGGTTTTCCTAATTTGTTGGAGACTTCCTTGGAATGATCATAACAGCCTGACCCAAACAAACAGGAGGCGGATACCCAGACTCCCTTTCTCCTTCTATTGTCATCTGTCGCCGGGGAGTTTACTGTGACCCAAACATTGAGCCTGGTTACGGCTACAGCGATTTAATAGGTGCACTGCTTAAACATTTCCATTTAGCATTTATTCATTATGAGTGTTTCTATTGCTCAGAAATACAATGATTCCTTCTGTGAATAGGGCGACTCTCCACAGATCTGAATTGTAATATATCCATAGTGCTAAAGGTTACTTGTCTCTCTTGTGATAGCTACTGTAGGTTGAATCTACACTATGGAACACTCTAGACAAAGCAATTACATTTCCATGGAGACCCTCCACTAGAAATTTTACAGAGCGCACCTTTAAAACTTTTTATTTATAGTTTACAGTGGACGAAGACTGCACCACATACTAAGGTAATGTATAATCTTGAGCTAAACATTGTGAGAACCACAATAAACTTAGAGTGGCTCTCACAAAGCTGTTTTATTTTTTATTACTTTGTTTTCTCCCTTTGGCCCCTTTCATGAACCGAATGAACTCAAGCGACTGGAGATTTGAGCTCAGTATTGTCACCATCTAAAGATCAGACTTAAAGGTGCACTATGTAACTTTTCTGGTGGAGGGCCTGGCACCTGCTTGTTTCCATAGAGATGTAAAATAGCTTTGCCTGGGATGTTAAACAGAAAGGCATTAAATCTATCTGGAGACAAGCAGGTGGCTCACATCTGTGGAGAAGTCAAACATACATACTAGACAGATAAATTTACTACACTATACTATATTTTCTATATTACTATATTTACTAATACTGTGGAACATTCCAGGCAAAGCAATAACATCTCCAGAGAGACAAGAAATGGCAGGCGCTCCACCATAAAAGTTACATAAAGCACCTTTAAGCCTGAACTTTAGATTGTGGCAATATTGAGCTCCAATTTCCAAACGCTTCAGTTCATTTGGTTCGTGAAATGGGCCAGAGGGAGAAAACAAAGACAGTGGTGTACTCTCCTTTAGAAAAGTTACATAGCTGACCTTTATCTTGTGTATTTGGAAGTGTATTTCAGTTCTTACCTCCCCAGTGGAATGGCCAAGTAGAAGACAGACAGCATCATGGTTCGACTGTTGTTGGTGAACAGGTCTCCGATGATGGTGGGAGAGATGGAGGAGTAACTGGACTCACCGATGCCCACCAACCCTCTGGACAGCACGAACAACCAGTAGTACTGAAAGACAAAAGAAGACTAGTTTTAAAAATGATGTAAACAATGTATAGTAGCATATACAGTAAATATACTCCCATTATTAGCAAAGTTATGACTATCATCACTACACCATGATCAGTTACTTCATAATGAATAATGAAAAAATAGTTGATAAAGACTGATTCCATTTTAGTGACTAGAAACTACAGTAACACTTAACCCTAACCCTTTAATTATCTAGTTACTATAATTTTGAATCATTTTTAATAAACTGTCATTAAAAAGTGGTACCAAATTATGTTGTCTGTCTAGAGGCAATTTGGTTATTTTTGTTTTTAGTATTGTTTCAGTCTTGTTACTCCGTTGAAAATGTACACTCCTATGATGAGGGGTTTCGCTACCAATGAGTGAACCAAGTAATGCAGCACTGACCTTGCTATTACATGCTAAGGGGCTAACAGTATACTTAGTGCAGTAAGTAATGGTATTAAAGGCCATAAAAGGGGGCAGGCGTGCAGTGGGGAGCACCTGTGTAGGCAGCTGGATTGTTAACTGTTTCTATGGTAACGTCTTACTACTTGCTGACTCCAGTCTGTTTGTGGAGCTGCACAGATCTCCCTCACACAACAAGACTGACGCAGACTGCAGTTAAAACGTGCAAGCACTACACCATGTAAGGTGATGGTGGGAGGTTGTTAAATATGTGAAATAGATCCAGTAATCAACATTTTCTATGCCAGGGGTTCTCAAACTTTTTGAGGCCAGGGAATGTCCCAAGGACCCCCTATTGTTCTCTACAATGGCATTGCAATACAATTCAGAAGTTCAAACCATATTTTTAACCAAATTTGGGTGAAAGATTTATTTCTCATAGTCTTTATTTTATTCGTGTAGTTGTTTCCATCAAAACATATGAGCAAATTTTCCTTAGCTACTCAAAAATGAATGAATGTAGGATTGAAACAAACACTTTATACACTATAATGCAACTCAATGTATTTCAGGGATTCAGAAAACTGATTTAATTTGAAAATAATACAATTTAATAATTTTAATGCATTCAGTTACAGAATAGTGAAAACACTTACATTTGTTCCACTGTGTATAGACCAGTTTTACAAAGTGAGCAGTGCTTCATAACAGCTCTTTGGCTTCTTGTTTTCAAACGCACGTGACTTGGTGAGATCATATTTTATCTCCACTGAATCACACACTTCATATTGTGTTTGTGATGATTCATGATTTTGCACTTAGTCTATTTTTCACTTTTATTGCCCCGTCGTTAGCGGTGTCTTGACGGTAGCCATTTTGACTATGCGGTGTTGAGAAACTAAAATAAATTGAAAGTGAAAAGAACAACAACACATAAACAACTGCTTAGTGCTGTGCCAGAAAGATGCCTCAAGTATGCAGTACTGAAAAAGCCAAATAAGAAAATGATTTTAGCTTTTATCTAATTTGGTGTTGTGTATTAAACAAAGGGGATAAGACTTTCTGAATCACTTTTCAAACCAAATGTACTTATGAAATAACAAGATAATACATAATAATCATTTTTGCTTTGGTCTTTATGTGTTGTAAAGTTGAACTATCCTGATCTAATGAGGCCAGGGCTGTGCAGTTGATTATATTTTATTTAAATTGAGATCCTTGAGATAATTTAAGATGGTTACTGATAGGTTTGAGTTTTGTTTTGTTTTTAATTCAGACGTCTACACCTAAACATAAGACTATTTTTGTGTTAAATGGTCCAGCTAAGATAGTCCTGACCAAACCTGGCACAAGATCTGTTGATACATTTTGCTAAACTTAACCTCTTATGCACATTTAAGAACATTTTCTTTTCTCTGAGGTGTTCAAAATAAATGATAAAAATGAAAATGAAAGACAATAAGTTGCAATACAGACTCTCACGTCCTCCTCTTTGGCCTCCACAGCCCCTGCAGGGTCTTGAAAGTGTAACCACAGCAGTCAGTATTAAGTGGATATTAACATTTCATTGGCTGTCATGTCTTCGATCTCTCATGGCGATGGCGCGTGGGTCGGTTACATAACGGTCATGTACACTATAGGCCCATTTGAATGACAAGCCTTACAGAACTAGTCTCTGGGATGGAGTTACAGCTGGGCCAGAGCAGTGAGGTTATCATGATGCCTGGACTCCCTGACATCATTTAAACTGGACCATTAATGTCTTGAGGTTGCGTTCATGTGATATTACTCAAGAGCTGGAAAACCGGTCAGAAATATATGGTAAAATATGCTGTTTAAATGTCAGATCTCTGTAATTACTGGGCTACAGAAAGTATATATATATATTTTTTCCAATAGTTTCCAAATGGTGACGCTAATATTAAACCTCAAAGAGAAGATTATTGTCATTTAAAAGATCTTTAAGTCCTTCAATTAATATGGAAACACCTGATTCAAGATCTATGGAGCGTTGATTTGGACATTTTTTTGCAAAACAGTGATTCTTTCTTAGGGTTACATAGACACCTGTCCTCCATCTGAACTGATAACATAAAATGGACGGTTCATATAGCAATTTAAAATAAAACTTTAGATCTTTTGAATGGTGAAAAGTCCTCAAAATGTCACCTATACTAGTATCTGATAGGAGCACATGCAAATATATCAAATTTGGGGATCATAGAGGAGATTTGACGTAAAGTATGCACCCTTTGGAGCTCTGACACAGACAGCTCTGGGCTAAGTGTCAGCAGTGTAAAGGATTACTCACTAGAGATGTAACATTGTGGGACATGGCACTTCTCGACAGGCAGGGGGCGCATATTCTTGACTTAAATGCCCGAGACTTTCCTTAAACCAAAAAAATCTCCATAAAGAAGGAGGATGTCAGATTAAAAGGCTAAAGTTGATCAGTGCCTCTGGTTTGATGGCAAAGCTTCCTCTCGTGGTGACATTTTGAGGGCATTTCACCATCCAAAATATATAATTGTCAATTGCTATGGTAACAACTGTTCTAATTTTCTGAACCCCATGGATAAACGATAACTGTAAAATTAATCAGTTCTGATAATGTGTTTGGGAGGCTGAAATGGCCACTAATTAGAGTTTGGATCCGTAACACTATAATGAAATCTATTCTGCTGTCCTATACTGTAATTCGTTTTTCAGCTGTTTCCAGTGTGATAAAAATTACAATAGAATATCCATTTACATTTTTTAATGAATCTAAAGCACCATCTGTCTCATCCAGAATCTGTCAGACTATTTTTGATTATGCAGAATCATAAAAAGCCAAACGATTCGCAGTTTGTCAAGTGAGAAATGTTTGTTCCATGTTTGTTAGTATTAAAGGTGTACTATGTAACTTTTCTGGTGGAGGGTCCGTCACGAGCGTGTTTCCATGAAGATGTTACTGCTTTGTAGCCAGGCTGGCGCCACCTAGTGCCTCCCCTCAATTTCACTTCTCTCCAGCAACTATGTCAGGAATCAGAACACACTAGACGGTTTGCAAGAACCCCAGAAGTTGTAGACCACGCACCGGCCAATCAGAGAAGAGCTGTGAAGCTATGACGTCAAACTCAAGCACCTGTCTGGGTATCTTTTGTGGTTCAGCACAACAGTAAACAAAGCAGTCGAGATGGATGTAGACAAAGCCATACATTCTGTATTGGCAACGATTCCCGAGATCAGGATTTAAAGCCGGAGCAAACAGAATGTTGGTGAATTTTATCAAGGGGAAAGACGTTATTGCCCTTCTTCCTACGGGATTTGGCACATTACATACGTCATGACCAAATAGCAGCGACTGGTTAAATAAAAAAGTATCCACCTACCGTCAAGCAAATCAATCCTAATGCTCAGGACAGGTCAGATGGTTTCCATGAAGTGAAACCGTTTGATGAATAAGGCTAGATATGTTCCACAGTATGTCATTAAACTTTTTATTTTTACCACACTGGCATAACAAGGTAAAGGTCAGATCTGTGGAAAGGCAACCCTGCATATTTTTCATGTATCTTTGAGCAATAATAACACCTGCAACTGAATAAATGTAAAATCAATGTGTTTAATGCCATACTGTGGAACATTCAAGGCAAAGCAATAGAATATTCATGAAAACAAACAGGACAGACCCTCGATCACTATCAGAAAAGTTACACAGTGCACCTTTAAACTAGATTATAATGGGTACGTGTGTTCTGATCTCTCACCAGGGTAGCACCCATCCCACTACATGGGGGGCGTTTGGAGATACCAGATCTAAATGCGCTTGTCAAGGGGCACTAAAACAACAGACTCTTATCTTCTAAAGCATTGTAATGGAGACAAGTCTGAAGCATGGCCCTTCATTAGGTGATTGGCTGTCTGCCAGAGAACCGGGGTAAAGAAAAGAGAAGCTGAGAGGCGGTCTGGCTGTGCGGGCATGTCATTCTATTTCACAAGCCTAATATGAAGCCTATCCACATCAGAAGAGTGCAATTAGCTCGTCATTGTAGTTCAAAGAGGCAGTGGCAGGCTAATAGAATAATATGATAGGCAGGGAGTGGGTCTGCATATCAGAGTGTGTGAGGGCGTCTTTATAACATTGTGGGGACTAAAATCTGTACACACATTTGCATTTCAGGACTCGCCTCTTTTATGTGACATAACTCCTTTATTATTAAGGTAACACTTTAGTTTAGGGACCACATATTAATAGCTGAAATGGTCATTTGTATTCTAAGTAGCTGTTACTTAGCTATTAGTTGGTATTAATCAAGCACTTATTAATGCTTATTAATATTTCAGTGGATACACAAAAACATCTATCGTAATCTCCACCACTTTAATGGAAAGAAAACTGTTAATGGGTTAGTACTCGCAAAATAATGCATTGAAAGTACTTTATAAATACTAACAAAGATGTAATTAAGCACTTATTATGCATTCTATTATTATTAATTAGTTATTAATATGTGCCCACACTAAGTATGTAAACACCTGAACAAATGCAAGATAATGCCATACTGCAGGACATTCTTTGCAAAGCACCATCATCTTCCTGACACAAGCAAGTTGTGTACCCTCTTCTCCAGATCTTTAAGGTTAGAATTTAAGTTAAGGTTATAGGCAATTAGCAAGTACAGTTAAAGATAGGATTGGTCTCCAGAAAGTAAATGTAAACCCAACATATGTGTGTGTGTGTGTGCATGTGTGTGTGTGTGTGTGTGTCTGTGTGTGTGCATGTGTGTGTGCATGTGTGTGCTGAGTGCCTCACCTCTTTGCTGATGAACGAGCTCAGCAGAGTAACAATGGACCAGAAGAAAATGCCGCAGCTCAGGATGACCTTTCTGTTGAAGCGGTCGCCAAGGTAACCGAAGATGGGAGCCGCCACCATGAAACTGCAGATGAAGACTGTAAAAGGCAAAAAAAGAAAAAGCGTTAAAAGAAAAAGTAATAAGATACATAATGTGTAATGTAAATGAGTTTAAATGGGACATATTTTGTAAAATCAACTTGAATGAACTTTTAACAGCTAAACTCAGTCACAGTTATTTTTGATTGAAACACTGCATGACTGTGTAGCCTAATGCTGCACTGTTCTGCATATGAAACTAATGCTCAGAAAATTCCTGTTTTCACCTACCCTATGTCCCCCTTCCTACTTTCAGTTATTTAAAAAAAAGTCCAAGGTCACACATGTAAGGTTAAAAACTGCTGCTACAGTGAAATAGCCAGTCTGGCTCCACCTAGTGCGTCCGTTCAATTTCATTTCTCTCCAGCGACTAGGTCAGGAATCAGAATACACTAGACAATTCGCAAGAATTTGTGGACTGCACACCAACCAATCAGCGAAGAGCTGTGAAGCCATGGCTGGGTCTCTTTTGTGGTACAACACAACAGTAAACAAAGTGGTCGAGATGGATGTAGACAAAACCATATATTCTGGCAACTGTTGGCAACGATTCCCGAGGCTGAGGATTTAAAGCCGGAACAAAGAGAATGTTTGGTGAATTTTATCAAGGGGAAAGACGTTATTGCCCTTCTTCCTACAGGGTTTGGCCCATTACATACGTCACAACCAAATAGCTGCAACTGTTTAAATAAAAAACTGCCTACTGAAGTGAAACTGGCTGATGAATCAGGCTAATAATGAAATGCTTCTATGAATAAATGATATTTCTCAGTTCTGCAATTTTGAACAGGAAGTCATTGGATCTGTTTCTATTATTGAGCAGCTTTAGATCAATAGTGCAGTTTACATTACAATTGAACAAAATATGAAATAATGCTCTTTGTATTAATAAACACCCCTCAAGAAACGTAATATATCTACTTAAAGGATGCTGACATTACAATCCTTCAGTCTGAAATCCCCTTAAGGCCTCAGCATCAGCCAGGAGTCCAGCTTAACAAGCCAAGACTCTGGATCAACTGTGATACTAGCGAAGGACGGCCAAAGGACTTCTCAGCAAGTAATCAGAACCCCACTAAAACTTCATCTGCACCCAAAACCCGCTACAGAATACCTAATATTGTGCAAGGTGATGGCAATGAGAATAGCCTCAAAGTTTCAAAAGATTCAATTATCAAAGCACTGCCGAGCGGAGCAAAGAATCTGAGATATAAAAGACTACAAGAGAAAGGACTTTTACAGAGAGGCAGCTAATATTAGAAATCAATAATAGCTCAGTACTGTAGGATTCAGCTAAACTAGCCCACTTTGACGCATTTTATAACTCTGTCTTGAGGTGTGATAATGTTAAAGGTGCACAGTGTAACTTTTCTGGTGGAGAGTGCTTGTCTCCATGGAGATGTTACTGCTTTGGCTGGAATGTTTCACAGTACGACATTAAACTTATTTATCTCCATGGATGTCTGTGTAATCCCTCAGTCGTCCAGGTAGGATCAGTAACAAATGAAAAAAATTATTCTGCCAACCGGACATTTGATTTATTTTTTTTATTTTTTATTTTGCTATCTCCATGGAGACAAGTAAGTGACGCAACCAGGACAGTAACAAGTCAGATCGGTGGAGAGGCAGTAAAAATGTAAGTTTTTCAAAAAAAATTTATTTATTTTTTTGCTATGAAAATATCTGCAACTGAATGAAAACAAGATAAATGAGTTTAATGCCATACTGTGAGACTTTCCTGGCAAACCAATAACACCTTCATGCACCCAAGTGACCAGAAAGGTTACATAGAGCAGCTTTAACTAAAAATACTTAATTCCATAGAGGAAAAAGCACCATCGCTGTCACTTGACTCTAAATAATTCCCCATGTCAAACTTTTACCTCTGGCCTCATGTCACAGTGAAAGCCCCATAAGTGCCTCTCAAACATGTCCCCTAATTACCCCTGCTGCCTTCAGACCGGACAACAAGGCCAGTTTTTGACGGCTTTGAGTCAATATTTATGAGGCCCGGCTAACTTACGCCATCCGCCCTGAGTTTTTCATGCAAAGCGTTTCGCCATTGCAGAGGAGAAAGGCCAGTGGATGTTACTGTTGACAGCAGCGAGGGGAGTTGGGGAGTGTTTTGACACATCATCAGCATAAACACACAGATACAGAGGAGAGATGAGAGGGGATAGAGAGAGAGAGAGGGGACTGTTATATAAGACTATAAGGCTGCTGCATCGTGGTGCTACAGCTGTGCAAAAGGATAATCTCATCCCAGCGTAAATGCAGTTTCAGAGGGTGATATAATAGTATGATACATGTAATCCAGAGGGCCTGAGTGAGCTGTGCACAAAAACAAGCCCAATACAAAATAACAGTCTAAAATTGTGTTGTTTCTGGGTTTAACTTGTGCCAAATGTACTGTTTCATTCAGAATCTGGCAAACTTATTTCATCTACTATTCTATCTTTGCACTGTTTTCTGCTTATGATCACTTGTTCAAAGCTGAGAGATTCATTTACTATATTTCTATATTTTTTACTTGTACCTGTATATTTATATAATTATTATTAGGAAATTGAACGGCAAATTGACTTCTGGAACCTCATGGTAAGTGTAGACTGCTGAGTTTCATAAAAAAAATAAGGCACTAACAGTCTAACTTGGGTTAAATAAAGTTTGTGTTTATGAAACTTGTAATGAATTTTAATTTATTTTGATAATATCACTCACTGTTTACTAACAAAGTAGTTAATTTGGACTGGCAATCTAAAATCAAGACTCTGGTGAGCTGTTTTTATAAATGGTAGATAAGCAAAATTACAGCAACTTCCATATTAGTCAGTTAATTTAAGACGGCCTGTGTAAAATAAACAGTTAAAAGGACAGTTATTGGATAAACTGGACACATTTTGCAAACCATTTCCTTTCCCAATCTATATTCAACAGTACATGTGGTGAGCTCTCCAGTCCCAGTTATTTCAATTCTGTTATCCATAATTTCACACAAATTGGCTTAATTTTACAAAATAGCTCCTGACTGTTGCATATGCAGTTACCTCAGAACACCACATGGCCTCTCATTACTGTTACTTTAAACCCCATTTACAGGGTCACACACATGGTCCAATCTTATTTGTAGGCTTTGAAGTAATTAGATGATAAGGTGCACCACGGTAAGAGTCATTATCACATTTGGTTTTGTCAACATTTGAGAACAAAAAGGTAAATTGAAGCTATAAATGTCACTGTTTCATAACATCGGGGGAGTAGAGTAACATGACTTTTAATCATGCAATTTATGTCATACAGTGTAGAGCATTTCAAATAGATTAGATAATGACATTTGGCGCTGTGTTGAGAGGGCAATTTTTCTTCAAGATAAATAAAACTATTTTGGAGTAACAATGATGTATTTAAAGGTGGACTATGTAACTTTACTGGTGGATTGCAGGTATTTTAAATTAAAGATGTGCAGTATTTATTTGTCAACATGAAGACAGCTCTATCTGGTACTATACTATACTATTCAAAGTACTGCAAACACACACAGCATGGAGGAGCCCAGATGTCGACTTGTGTCACATTTAATCTTTACAGAGGCTCAGCGACTCCCAGGAAACTCCCTGTCATTTTAAAGAGCCTTCGTAAAACCCACTGTTTTCCACTCTGTCTCCACCGCCTCGTACAACAATCTGTCACACTTGGGTTGACGCTAACTTCCACCTCCCCAAAGAGAAAACTATGGCATTTTATGAAGGTGTCATACCAAAACTGTCAAGATGTATTCCTTTGAGAGACAAACAATGACCTTAAAATTCTATTATCATTATTGTTATTATATTTCACTGTTTACACACAAGATAAAAGCAGGCAACCATTAATATGGACTGGCAAACTAAAATCAAGACTCCAGTAAATGTTAGATAAGGAAAATTACAGCAACTTGCATATATTAATCAGTCCATTTATGGCCACTGTGTGAAATAGTTAAAAGGACACTTTTTGGATAAACTGGACACATTTTCGAAGCAACTCCCTTTTCCAGTCTACAGTATATTCAACGGTACATATGATGAATGCTCCAAAGGTGCATTGTGTCATACTAAAACTGTCAAGAAGTGACACACAATGACCTTATAATTCAGTTTAATTTTAGGACAATAGAAAGAACAAAACAATACTTACATACACGGACACACCTAAAGCTCAACAATAACACATGACATAATTAAAACCGCAAATATTCAAATTAACACTGGAAGGTTCATTTGACTTTATATGGACATCCTCGTACAGGAGATATTGCGTCAATAGTTTTAAAGTCATTGTTCTTACTGATGAAGTGTAAACAGCCTGAATATGACACATATATGAATATATGCGGTGTGTCCACTGGCCACATTCCTGAGCTGGCCACTATTGTTTGATTGTTTATGCAGCCTGCTAGAGTTTGTGTTATCCTGTGGTGCCATTACCGATAAGCACTGGCTAAAGACCAAACAATACAATGGACAATAAATGAAAGCAAGCAAATCACCAGAAGAAAAAACAAGAAAAAACAAGTTGTAAGTGTTAAGGTTTACAGGAAGTACAGTAAGACATAAATTTACATGCATACTTAAAATAAGATTCTTTCTAATCATGGTCTTACTCACATCCCAATTTGCAGTTTGTATGTCATTTAAATAAATTTAAAGCTCCAGAAATCAGATAATAGGTTTTGATCAGATTATAGTGTGCATGTAAACTTAAAATTATGTAAGGAACATTATGGCTGTAGGATATTTATAGCAGGGCTACATCCTCATATTCATCTATTTAAATTTTTTATTAGATTTTATCTAATCTAAAACAAATAAAAATGTCTTTAAAATGAATTACCAAAACATAAACAATACATGGATGGTGGATGGACAAACAATACAGACTTTTAATACTTGCCATTTAACAGAAAACTTTCCTTATAATTGTATGTACAGTGAGTATGCTGGTGTGTTCCATTTGCTTT